AGAATCAATTTGGTTTTATGCTAGGTAGATCAACTCCAGAGGCGATTTATCTACTAAGGGGATTAATAAAAAGTATCGTTGTAAAGATAAAGATCTACACATGGTTTTTATTGATTTGGAAAAAAGCTTATGACCGTATACCAAGAGAAGTGCTTTGGAAAGCGTTGGAAAAAAAGGGAGTATGGATTGCTTATATTAAAGCCATACAAGATATATATGAGGGGGTAAAAACTAGTATAAGAACGCCTAGTGGTCAAACAAAGGATTTTCCTATAAAGATTGGACTACATCAGGGATCATCTCTGAGTCCTTATTTGTTCAACTTGATCTTAAATGTTTTGACGGAACATATTCAAGAGAAATTCCGAAATGTATGCTCTTCACGGATGATATAGTTCTTATAGCAGAGACAAGAGAAGAGGTTAATTGCAAACTTGAGTTATGGAGGAGGACATTGGAGTCGAAAGGTTTTCGTCTGAGTAAAAGTAAGACGGAATATTTATATTGTAAATTTGGTAAAGGACTATTCGATAATAATTTGGACGTGAAATTGGGAGATCAAATTATACCTCAAGTGAAAAAGTTTAGATATTTGGGAGCCATTATTCAAAATGATGGCGAAATCAGTAGAGATATTTCACATAGAATTCAAGCTGGGTGGTTTAATTGGAGAAAAGCTAAAGAGTTATTTACGACCGTAAGGTGCCTAATAAACTTAAAGGAAAGTTTTATCGCACTACTATCAGACCGGCAATGTTATATAGTAGTGAATGCTGGGCTCTAACGGGACAGCAAGAGCATAAAGTTGGAGTAGCAGAGATGAGAATGTTACGATGGATGTGCGGACATACACGTAAAGATAAAATTCGAAATGAGCACGTACGTGAAAAAGTGAGGATGGCACCTATTGAGGAAAAAATGGTAGAAAATCGGTTGAGATGGTTTAGGCATGTACAAAGAAGACCAAGGGAGGCACCAGTGAGAAGAGTGGAACATATAACTTTGAGTCCGATTAAGAGAGGTAGAGGAAGGCCTAAAGAACACTCTTGGAAGTTGTTGAGCGCGATCTCTTAATTAATAATATTCCTAAAAGCTTGATAAATGATAGAGCACAATGGCGTCTTGCAATCCATGTAGCCGACCCCACCTAGTGGGTAAAGGCTTGTTGTTGTTGTTGTTGTATCGTCATTCAACCCGAAAAGAAAGGAAGAAAGAAAGGTGCAATCAAATAGTCAAATGTCTGCTGTCCAAAAGACTAAAATGTACAATTTGGGGGATTGGGAGTTGAGGACCTTCATTCACAAAATATTGCTTTCATCATGAAGTTTTGTTGGAATATGATGAACAAGACACAACCTTTATGGGTTCAATGTATAATTGTGGAGAGGGAGACATGCCTAATATAACTCGTAAAGGGAACTCATTTGTGGTGTGGCAAGCAATCACTGAAGTTTGGGAGAAATTTTACAGTGGTATTGGTAAAAGGATTGATAGTGGTGTTAATGCCATGTTTTGGTGGGATCGCTGGTTACCGTTGGAAAGACCACTCATTTTCTATGCAAACAGGGCAGTGAACAGCATAAACCATCTTGACAAAGTCAAACAGCATATACGTTTTTATGGTCGGTGGAATCATATTGGTTAGCGTGGTTTGCTTCCTCAATGGGTCATTGATAAAGTTCTATAATCCGAACCGCCTGCTGGTGATGGGCTAGATACTTTTTGCTGGAGAAACGCACCCGATGGCAGAGTCAGTGCTAAGGAAGCGTACAAATTCATTTGGCAGCAAAACCAACAAATAACAGAACTGTAACGGAGAAAAATATGGAAATGGCCGCTATCGGAAAAGAACAACTTCCTTTGGCAAATTCTCTATGAGCGTTTAATGACCAACTCACTCACAACTAAGAGAGGGATCTTCACAAATAATGAGTGCCCTTTTGAGTGTCACAGAGAAGAGCGCATTATACACATTTTGCGACCGTGAGTTATGTATGGGAGGCTATTATTAAGCCTGACCTTTCATCTGCTTTTATGTCTGGTAATTTGCAAGTACGGATCCGATGGAATAATAAAAAAAGCCCAACCAAGTGCAGATTTCAACAATGGCCAAGGATCAAAGTTTTTGGACTGGTTGCTTGGATGCTGTGGAAGACCAAATGCCATAGACTCTTTGAGGATGTTAATATCACGCACAAGGATGTGACTCGCCAAAGCCTCTTTAATCTGATGGAAGAATTTGGACTCAAAGTGCTCCAACACGTCACACAACAAGGATCCACTGTGGGGACGGGCACATGGCAACCACGACCGATAGGTACACTTCACATTGATGTGGATGCCTCTGCCAATATATATGGCCATGCAGCATGTGGTGGCATAATTCGTAATGAGCAAAGGGAGTGGGTATTGGGATTCCAATGTGGAACTGGAGTGACCAACGCTACAAGTGCTGAAATCATAGCTATTGAGACACGGCTTGAAGTCCGTCAATAGATGAATCTCCAGTCACTTTGTTTATTTTCTGATTCCTTGGAAGCGGTTAAACACATATTCAGAGATCATGGGACAGATTACACAACTAACAATGGAGTTGCAGCGGTGAGAGACCTATTGTATCTGCAGGATCAGGATGCCACTATCTTGCATGCCTCACGTGATTGTATCAAATGTGTGGATTTTCTAGCCAAAACCGCTCGCAGTATTGGATAAGAGTCATCTTATCTAAGTTTTTGTTTGTTGTATTTTGTTCAAGCTAGTCTTGCCTTCGGGAAGAAAATAAAATGTATGAAATTAGAGTTGAAAGGGAAGAGTCAGGAAGGGAGGAGTGGGAATGGCCTTTTGGGCACCGCAGATGGACAGTTCGTTGTTGTATAATAATAATAAGGTGATGGCATTGGCAGCACAATATTCGGAAATGCGCCACTTTCTTCTCATATTCCCATCCTCCTCACGGCCTTCTCTTCTCAGTTCTCACCTTCACTTTCATTCTAATACCAGCCCTCTACTATTTCTACCCTCATACCAAATTAGGATTTCATGTTAACCTTTCCGCTAGAAGCGCCTCCCAGAGCTGCAGATTAATCCTCGTCTCTGACTATGGCTTGTTCTTTCGTCCAATCACAGGGAGGGTTAAATTTCAACCATTGGACTTCTAAAACTTGTTTTTAGAAAAGCCCGCCAATCAGCAATAAACGACTATCACAACTTTCATTTGAATATTTCATCAAGACGGCACGGCACCACTTTCTCTTCATATCGTTTTCCCATCTTATATGCCATCTATTATCATAATAAAATCAAATTTAATGGCATCAATCCTAAAGAAGTCAGTGCATAATTACTTCATCTTTTAAATAAAGGAAAAATCACAATCAAGGATCGAGTCAATTAATTATGTTACATAATTAAACAATTCTTATTTTATTCTATAGGACCAAAAGACCTAAATGTATTAAAATTTATTGTAAAAAAGATAAAACTACTCTTGATATATTTTTGTTGTGACAGGGGAATTGATTGTTGTTAAAATAGGAATAAAACTTATTCAACAAATTATAATAATTTCTTTGCCAAATTAATATTTTGTAGTTGTTAATGAAGAAATTGATTGTTGTTAGAATGAAAATAGGACTTATTCATTGAATTACAATACTTATTATTCTTTCTTACCAAATTTTTTTTAAGTTACTAATAAAGGAATTGATTATTGTTAGAATAAAAATGAGACTTAATTTTTCGAATGGGGATTTGTTCACCAAATTATAACACTTTTCCTTTCCATTATCAAGTTAATTTTTTAGAGTTGTTAATAAAAGAATTAATTATTATTAAAATGTGAATGAAATTTTTTATTCTGATGAGAAGTTATTGTTAAAAGAGTATATAATATATATATATGAAGGATATTTTTATCTTTTCATAGCAAAGGTAAGTACTTTGATCTTACAGATTAATATTAGAATCATTTGATCCGTAGTATAATTAATTGTCTTCAAGGATTCTTGATTGTGATTTTCCTCTACTCTCTTTTTTGAATCACTGGATTTATTTGTACATTCATATACAACTTTTAAGATGTCAATATCTTGAGTGAGTTCATGAAATGCATATCCAAAGTATATCATTATGTGAAGATCACATGTTTTTAGGAGCCTTCGCGCGCGCACATCCCATATCAATTTTGTATGCTGCAATAAAATACTAGCATCATCTGTTCCCCCATTTAAATTTGTTTAATGTTAACTCTTCATATCCACTAATGCACAAGCTTACTGCAACTTGCAAGTCTCATTTCTTTTTAATAATGTGGCATTTCAGAATGTTCTTATGGACTTGCAGGCTGTGTGAAATCTAAGACTAGAAATCCAAAATATTTGATGAAATTGAAAAGAGGGATTTCAATGAAGAGAAAATTTTATCGCACACTCAAGTTACAAAATACTCCAAACTATTACCATTTTTTACTTTATATTTTCTTCTTCAGACTCTCTTCTTTTTCTTCCTTTTTTTTTTCCTCTTCTTTGTATGCTTTTTTCTACACCTTCCCGACAGTCGGCACCCCTTCTTTCTCATCTCTTTTTCTACTCACTCACCATTTAACACACAAATGACTTATTCAAGTGTTTTATGTATGGATGGAGAGCGTGCTTGCTCAACAAATCACTCCTTGTGCTTTGAGACTTTTTTTGTATTTTAGGTTTAGCGGGCCATAAAATTAGTGATGATATTTAACAGGATGCATCATTGATCATGTAAGTGCTTTAGTATATTGTAGTAAACTATGCCATATTTGACCGGTCTTCTGTTTTGGCCTTGCCCCAGTTATGGGATAAAAGATAAAGCCACTTTCACTACGCAAGCGAATTCGCAAGGATATGCCATCTCTTATCTCTTTCACTTCACTGTAATCCATGTACCTTTGTGTTGTTTTGTTAAATTTATGATCTCATTTATATTTGGTTTTTTCGAAAATGCAGATAAAAATAGAACACTCACGATAAAAATGTCAAATTCTAGCCCATCTTTTGAGGGGGAAACGTGCATTTGTGGCAGATAAAAATGGAATACTTGTTTGATTAACATATATACAAAGCGAAACATTAAAAATAGTTCATGCCTGCTGCTATCCTTTATTTCAGGTGGATAAGGACTACTCCAGTTTTCAGGGCGTCTTTTCTTTCTTCAATAATCTCTTTCGGGACATCTTTAAGGTATAAGAAAACTCCCAACACATCTTTTCCCAGAAAGCGAAGCACGAAGAAAGCGAAACTTCCCCATGTAGTATCAAAAAGATTGGCTTAAACTTGATCCAAAATCAGGGTCTTTCTATTTTACCTCTTCCAAATCTCTTTGATTTTGCCCACTGTCAGCATCAGTAGTGCACAACCCTTTCCTCTGTCTTCTCATCGAAAAACAAGTTGCTGCAACTACCTGTGCTTACTAATTGTTTAATCTCATCCATCCCATAATCTAATAAACTCTCTCCCCACAATCCATTGTTGTGGTAATAATTATGCGCACCACCAACCTGTTGGATTAAAGTTCCATATCTTCCGTACACAAACTCTGCTTCTCTGATATGAGTGATCTGGTTATTGCAGCTTCCATCAGAAGAACTGCAACTAGCAGCCTCACCCCCAACCATAGACACTTGCTGATTCCGAATAGGTTCCTTAAAACTACAATCATGGTGTTGAAAAGTGAAGTTTGCAGAAGTAAACGCGTTACCACTCAAAAGATTAGAAGAGCCTGTGAATGATGCGTTAGCATGGTGGTAGCAAGAGTTGGTTCTGTCTGAGAATAATAATGGTGAAGCTGGTGTGGAATTTTGAAGAATGGTTAAAAGGGTGGGTTGATGAGGAGGCTTACTCCCCTGAGATGAAGGATTCATGGGCATCATTTTCTTCTTAAGCTTGGTGTTCCAATAATTCTTGATATCGTTGTCGGTCCTCCCAGGTAAATGAGCTGCTATTATCGACCACCTGCGCTTAATAATCACAATCAAATACTCATGAATTATCTAATTAAATGTCAGCTTGCATGCCCCAAAAATGAAACAAACTCTGACATCCGTTCCTCTGCTTATTTCGTGAACTGGAAATTTCATGATCTGCTTATTTCTACTGGTTCAGAAAAAAAGCGAAGAGGTTAAAAATATAAACACCTGCTTCCAAAGCTAGCGAAGAGGTTGCAGATGATTCTATCTTCATCATCAGAGAACTGGCCGTGCTTAATGTTAGGTCTGAGATAGTTAAGCCATCTTAGTCTGCAGCTTTTCCCACATCTTTTCAAACCTGTGCCAGACAATTATGACAGGGATGAGAGGTAAGGTCACAGAACTCTGGTGATTTGCGCACAGAGAGAGAGAGAGAGAGAGAAGCAGAAGGAATAAGAAGAAAAATACTTACCAGCTTTTTGTGGGAGAGAGATCCAATTCCCACCAGTGCCATGTTTCTCTATGTACTCCTTTAGCTTGGCATCTTCTTCGGGAGACCATGGCCCTTTCTTTACATTTGCCTTGTCGCAGCAAGGAGCTCTGCCCATCTTCCCGGTCCTGTCTCGCTCCCAGACTCTGTTAATTAGATGCAGAGCTATGTATTTAAGCTCTGGTTGCTTGGAAGGGAATAGAGAAGACTTTAATTAGCACAAGGTCAAACACAGAATGGAGCCTTCTTAACTTAAATTGTCTATATGTATGTGTCTAAACCCATTGGCCATATTGATTGATAATCTTGCAGAGGGTTGTGTCACCACAAGAGGGAGCCTTTTCGTAACACAGCTATAGAGAATCCCAAATCTCTTATTTATAATACCAAACGGAGTCACTGAAAACGAAGGTCTACTCTTCTGGTATTTGGTATTGTACTTCAAGCCACGAGCCACGTCACGAGAAAATTATTTCCTACTAATGTCTCGGGTGAAACTAAAAATTTTCTTATCCTTATTTATTAACGTCATATCAATTTAAATTCAAATATCTGCTGTATATACTATTCACTGAAATAATATTTTTGACCAAGATTGAAGTAATATATTGTTTACGCAAATCCTGTAAATTTTTTAAAAATGAATATTTTCTAGGAGGTTATACTTTATAAAATAATTTATTTCAATTTATAAAAGCGTTCTCATTGTTATTTTCAAATCACTATTGCAATGATAAATTCTTGCATAGGAGGTCGGTATACTATATTATTCATGTTCTGTTTAATAAAAATATGTCACTTCAAATAATTGTAAGTATAAATTAATTTCATAATTAATGATAATAAAAAAGAGAAAACAAAAAATTGAAGATATGCTCTATTCTAAAAATAAGGTTATTAAGAATAATGATATATCCAATTTTATTTAATTGAACTAGTATGATTTTATTGAACAAATCATATATGATGTGGTGTATCAGCTTTGTATAAAAATTTCTCTTATTACAACTCGGCTGCATTAAATAGTCGTATTTCTCGATTTTATTCTTTGATCATTCGAGCACTCATAGTTATTTTCATTGACTATTGCAATAATTATAATGGTCTTATATAGTTATGCATGATATGCAATAAAATTATGTTAATGAGAACAGTTAACATCTTTTTTTTATACATATATCTATAATTGAGACTGTCACATACACACGAAGTAGTCAACGGTCATAAACCGCACAGTACCTTTATTAATAGTCCTACTTGGAGTGTTTGATCACAAGACTTCATACGACTCAAAAATTTGAATTTGGAAACCGAACGTTGCAGATTTTCAACTTATACATTAAGTTCTATTGACCATGTTACATAATTCAGGGACCTGTCTCCCTCCAGCCCCTGTAAGCAATAATAGATGGATCCCCTCCGTTTTCTTCTATACAACACGTGGATTTGGGAGGTGGAAAATTAAAATGGGAAAAAAATTTCAAGACGTGACAGAGTGTTTTGTTCTGATTTTTTTTTTTATTTTCAAGTAAATAAACATACTCTTATGATATAATTAACGCAATACTTTATTTCCTCGTTCACGTGTTTCTAGAATTGATGGATGATAAATGTCAGCTTTTCACAAATAAAATCACCTTGATGTAAAGACGCTTCTCGCGACACCGTATAAATTAAAATAATAATTTAAAAAATTAATTATTTTTTTATAATCATCCTTCAATTATAACTCAATTTTCAAATTTTAATTTATAATTACTTAATTTTTAAATTTTTAATTCAATTATGACTTTATTTTTAAACTTTAATTATTACAATTTAATCTTTATAATTTTAACCACTTAAATATTAATTTTTATATCTTAAAAAATAAAATTATATTAAAATTTATTATTAATGTTTTAAATTATTAAAATATTTTAATATTTATAAATATTATCAATATTAAAAATTTAAAATATTTTTAATTTTTATAATTTATTTTTTTAAAATATAAAAATTAATATTTAAGTGGTTAAAATTATAGAGATTGAATTGTAAGAGGTAAAAGAATATAGTTTTAATTAAATTAAAAATATAAAAATTAAATTATAATAAATTAAAATTTAAAATTAAGTAATAGCTGAGTTAAATTTATAAAATTAAATAATTTATTTTTTCATAATAATTTTACCAAATTTTATGTATGAATTAAATATATGCCATTAATGATTTCTTTTCTATGCTTGTCTAAGAAGTTATGTTGTCATTGACATTTATTGCGGTGGGGACATCTACAGTACATGAAGTGGATGCATGCCTCGAACAATCAGCGTCTTGTAGAAGATAATAATACATCGCATTATTGTCAAAAGATTACATAGTTCAATCCCTTCCATGCCTTCTCTCGTTTGCCTGTTTCTTTCTACATGACTATTTCTTTTTTGGCCAAATTTTAACATGACTATTTGATTGTATCATATTTAAGTATTGTCATGTTGAATTAGAGATAATTATTCTTATAAAGACATTTTTTGCATTTGTATGGACTCGAATCTAGTGTCCCTTATTTAAGCCGTTATAACCAACACTCATTGATAATCTCATTTATCTATTTCATTGTTCATTTAGTTTATTGGCCAAGCATTTATAAAACTTATTATCACTTACATGCTTTTGGAAATTAAACATTATCATATATAATACATATTATAATTTACTGTAATAATTAAATGAATGATATTTTCAATTTAATGTCTGGATTTACACCGCTAACTCAAATAAATAATTGAATGACTAGATGAGATTGCATAAAGTGCCAAATATAATCTAAGGACCCTTGTGGTGATATAATATAAAAAAATAACTATAAAATTTTGAAATATCATTACATCCCTTGGAACATATTTGAAAATAGGATTTTTGAGGAAAAGGCCTAATTGTTTCCTATAAAATTAAACCATGCATATCATGGACAAATGTCCACTAACTTGTTGATTATATATAATAACTTGTCAATAGTTGAATACTTTATTATTTATATTAAAATGAGACTTATAAAATTAAACCAGACTTAATCAGTTTGTACAACTTATTTATGAATGAATGACTACTTATTAATTACTTATATTATGATAACTTGTCAATAGCTAAATGCTTTGTTGTCTTTGGCAAAGCAAAATTTATAAAATTAAACTAGGCATGTAAGTTTTTGTAACTTGTTCATGAATGAATGCCAGCTTATTGATTACATATGATAGCTTGTTAATAGTCAAATGATTTGTTTTCTATGCTACAACAAAACTTGTAAAATTAAATCAGTTTGTTAGTTTTTGTAATTTGTTCATGAATAAATATTTGCTTGTTAATCATATATAATAACTTGTCAATGGCTGGATGTTTTGTTGATTATTGCTAGAACAAGATTTGTAAAATGTTATAAGGATAATTAGGTCTTTTACTCTAAAATTTTATTTCCAAATAGGTTCCAGGGGTACAGTAATATTTTAAATTTTTAGGATGTTTCTTTGTTATTAAAATGTTACAGGAGTCATCAGACAATATTTTTCTTGAAGAAATTAAAAGGTATTGACTAGCCGTATATGGAAAAGATTCAGACTCAAGATATTACGCATGACTCTACATTCTCTGAGAAAAGCAACACGTAACATAAACTTCATCCGGCATCACTGTGACTCGTTGAAAAACCGTACTCACAATAAATTATTTCCCCGTAAATAAAAAAATCGTCCATGGCCTACAAAGCGGCTCCTCTTTTTTTTTTTTTTTTTTACCATGTACGGGTTTTTATTCAATCCATGGTCTATGATAACAATTAACTATAATGCGATTTAGCTGGCGAAGCTATAGTGATCAAAGAAAAGAAGTCAATGAACAAGTCGTGGATGCCGAAAGAAATTCCTCAAGACGTATAGATGAACAAAAATGCCGAGTTATACTAAGAGGGCATGCTATGTGCCATGTAGATCGTACAAGCACGTACTTGTCACCTTACTGAAAGTAAGAAACGCCTGTGAGTCTGTGACTAAGAATTTTTTATTCGCCTGCACTGATGAGATTTGTTAAAGCAGACGAATCTATACATGTGTGTGTGTCTATAATAAACAGCCATGTTGATGTACTGGTGCAACATTGATGACCGATAAAACACAAACTTATACTCTTAAATTCAATTATTCAATGCTCTTGCAAATTTCCGGGATTATATTCCTAGAATAGCCTTAATTATGGGTGAGTCATGAAACGGAGTAAATAATATTTGACGTGAAAACAACCATCCGAGTATTTATTATCTTTGACACAATGCTTTATTTCTTGGATTATCGTGCTTTTTTTTTTTTGGCCAATTGGATTATTATACTCATGTTAGGTTTGTTAGGCGACCTAATTAAGTCTTCATAACGGATAGGAGACGCACTTTCGGGTATTATATGGTGTGTCCGATCAAGATTAATCAGACAACCGTTTTGAGTGGTTCATCCTATTTTCCTACCATTATTGTCCTTGTCTCGGCTAGATTTAAGCACATTTGTTTTTCGTACGTAAATGAAATAAGTAAAAGGAAAAATCACAATTAAAGACAGATTAATGCCAAATCAGTATTTTTAAAGATTTATAGTGCAAAAACATAGGAGAAGAAATATTAGACTTAAGAATTTTAGTTGTCAAGAGATCCTAATTCAATATTATCTCTCTTTTAAGTTCCTCGCTTATCATTTTCCATAAATAAAATAATGTCTTACATCTTATCTACCTTACAGGACAACAGGACATTTTCTACTAGTTACCATTGTTTAAAGTGTTAAAAAATAGAAATAACTAACAACTTTTTTTCTCAAGAAGACCGAGTATTTTTAAGTGAATATATTATAGTGAGTACAATAATTCTTATTCCATTAAATTTGACTAATCGTTCATTGATGTTGATTGTTAGAAAAAGAAACAAACATAAAATACAAAAATAACTATAAATTAATTTTTTTTATTTAAGAGCTTTTGATATCCTAAAATCAATAATAGTGCATGTGTATCTATTAATTTAATAAAATGGACAAACCTTTCCGAATCTGATAAGTTCTACTCTTAGAACTTTATAGTTAATGTTAAATTATTTTAATGGATTGAGAAATCAAAGCCATTAAATTGAGTCAAGCTTGATGAGTTAGTTCAAATAAGCTTGAAAAATTTAATACTAGACTTGGGAGCTTAGAAAATGAATTTCATCCATCTCGGGCTTACATGAATAAACTTGATGAACTTTGAGACAAGTTAAGTTTGAATGGATTTAACTTGGATACCTAAATTCTTTTTATTATTAATAAATAAGTTAAAATTAAATAAAATTGAAAATATTAATTTTTAAGATACAAAATGATTTTGACTAAAAAAGAAAAGAACAAAATAATACTTAACAATTTAGGCATTTAGGCTAGTCTGAATAAATTCGAAGGCCGGAGTTGTTAGAGTTGAACTTGGCTCCATTGTCTTTTTTAAAAAGTTAATATGTATCTATGCACCATTGTTGACTTAAAAAAATTATGAGTAATTTTATACTTTATGTTTGTTTCATTGTTTTAACGGTTAATGTTAAAATGTTAGTCAAATTTAATAAAAATAGAGATTGTTGCACTCATTATAATAAGTTTGAGTATTATTGCACCTTTGTTCATTTAAGAATATTAGGTTCTCTTTTAAAAAAATTGTTAAGTATTCTAGTCTTTTAACTCTTATTTAAAATGTAAGACATTTTATAATTTTAAGAAATATTTTTTTGTCTGCGACACTGTGTTGGTTAATGCCCGCTGATAGTTAAAAATGAAAAATTATAGGCATCAATGGTAATAATAATAAATATGAAAGTAAGTCAACTTTTGTGAGATTTTTTTTTATAAAAAACTTCTTTTAATACAAGTGGTAAATGTTGAAAGTACCTTATATTAGAGATCACATGGGGCTGTATGCTTGCAATAGAGAATTTTCGCGGTCACCTTAAAACAAAGGCATTACATCACGTGTACACCGGCATGGTTTTTTTTTATAAAAGACGAGGACAGAGTCTAAAATTACAGAGAGCTAGACAGAAAGAAAATTTGGGGACTGAAGTCCCATACAATCATTCAGCACAAGGTCCCTCAAAAAATGGGGAGTCAAATCGAAAAGAGAAGTGTTCGAAATTTCTTCTCTAGCTAGAGAGTCAGCAACCAAATTTTGTTCCCTTGGAATAAAAATTACCTGCACACACCAGTTGTATTGTAGTAGGCTTTTGATTTCCATAAAGACCAAGTTACCATTAACTGGGCCTTCATTTTTATTGTTGATCAGCTCTACTAGGTTCTTACAATCAGACTCTATAATCACTTTCTTGAAACCCATGTCCCATGCTAGACGAAGACCACGAAAGATAGCCTATTCCTCAGCTTTAATGGGTTACAACTTCCAATAGAAAAGGAAAAGCCCACGATCCAGGTTCCTTCATGATCTCTAAGAACACCACCACAGCTAGCTCTATTTGATATAGTAGAAACCGCACCATCTGTATTAAATTTGATCCAATCTTTAGGAGGAGGCTTCCAGACTTTGGCAGTCACACAAGGTGTATTAGTATTGATGATCAAAACCTGTCACATGATGTAAGATTCCCAAGAATTCAGCACTTCATCTATAGGATGAGTTGGTTTGAGATAATCATTTTAGAAGGTATAGCAGTTCCTCCATTTCCACAATTTCCAGATTGTAACTCCCTATATCAAGTCCCAATTAGCAGACAAGTCAAAATTAGAGGGAGGTTTCAAATTCTAAATCATCCAATCCTTAAGATTCAAGGAAAAGAAACATCGATGGTGTTTCAAAGATAACAATTTAGACTAAATCTGCTTTGCATATTCACAATCCTGAAGAATATGAAGAGAATCCTCTTCTACTTTCCCACACCAATTACATATAGGAGAACAGTTAGCCCATAGGCTTCTCCAGCTATTGGTAGGTAATCTATTGTGGTAGGTAATCTATAAGAAAACTCGAATTCTCTCTACCCCTTTCCATTTCCAGATCATATTGAAAATAGGGTCAAGTAAGCTTGGTGGGGGGTTTCAATCATAAAGTAAGCACTTTTAATAGTAAAGGAACCATCATTAGTGTCATTCCACAACATAATGTCATTTCCCGCAGATTAGGAAGGGGGTAAGACTGAGATAAGTTTTGTGGTTACCTCATTCGACACTACAAAATCTGACAAAATCCCAACTACCAAAGCGCGTCTAATCAGCAACTTTGGTGTTTTTTTCCTCCTCCAAGAGAGGTCTCAACACTAGATTTTTTATTTTCTTATCAGGAAAGAGCTAAAGATCTTCAAAGAAATTAATGGATTCTCCATTACATAGTTGCCAATGAGTTCCTTCCTCCACATAACTCTTATGCTAATAAATAAATTTCCACAGCCTTGAGTCAGACTGTTTGGTGTTCAAAAGATTATCCTCAGAGCGTAACATGTATTTATTCAGTAATAGATCAGCCCACAGGTCATTATTTCTAGACACAAGATTCCAAGCAAGTTTTGTACCGCAAGCTTTGTTGACAGAGGAGAGCTTCCTAAAACCGAGTCCTCCATATGCTTTTGGCAATGTTATCATTTGTCAGTTGAGAGGATGAAAACCTCTGGATATTAAAGAACCCCAAATAAAGTTTCTCTGAAGTTTCTCAATTTTATTGCAAACTTTATTAGGGATTTTTGACACCTACATTGGGTACAAAGGAATTACACTCAGAACTGATTTAGCAAGCACAATTCGTCTTGCAGTTGACAGACAATTTGATTTCCACCCAGCCAGCTTGGTGTTGATTTTGTCAATTAAGTACTGGAACTTTGTAGTTGACTTTCGTTCATCAGTTAAAGGAAAACCTAGATACCTGCCAATTTCTGAGGAGATGTTCATTCTCGCAATCCTCTTGATTTTTCCTTTTAAATCTGGCCTTACATTCTTGGAGAAGAAGAGTGAAGATTTTGACTTATTCACTTTTTCTCCTGAGGCTTTGCAAAATTTGTTGAGACAATCCATCATGACAAATGCTTGCTGCTCAGACGCTTCTCCAAAGAGTAGGAGGTCATCCGCAAACATTAGATGTGAGATTGAAGGCCCTTGTTTAGTAACATAGATAAGTAGCCAAGATCCAGAATCTACTGCATCACTGATAAGATGAGAAATTCTATCCATACACAAAATAAATAAAAAAGGTGAGATTGGGTCTCCTTAATGGAGACCTCTTTGGGGGGAAAAATTCAGATTGTGACCCATTCCATAAAAAATTATAAGAAGGTGTAGAAATACAATTCATGATTAGTTTTATGAGATCAGAACTCATACCAGTATCAATCAATACATGCTCAAGAAAATCCCACCTAATACGGTCATAGGTTATATCAATTTTCATAGCAAAGAAACCTTTTCCTCTTCTAGCCTTCTTCATGATATGCATAATTTCCTGTCCGATAATAATGTTGTCCTAGATTTGTCATCTCGGGACAAAGCTGGGTTGAAAAGGAGAGATTAGATTATCCATACTCTTCTTCAGTCTACCATTAATAATCTTTGTGATGCTCTTGTAGTGGACAGTACATAATGAGATTGGTCTAAAATGACTGACCAAATCAGGCTTTTCTCTCTTCGGGATAAGTGAAAGAAGAGTTTTGTTAGCTTCAGTAATAGAGATAGAGCCTTCAAAGACATCCTGTACAAATTTGCAAAAAGAGTCACCCATTGTCTCCCAGTTAGATCTAAAGAAGATAGGGGACAAACCATCGTAGCCCGGTGCTTTATAGGGTCCCATAGAGAAAACAGCTTGCTTAATCTCTTCTTTATATGGGGTAGAAGCTAGATCAATAGAAACTTCTTGACTGATGGCAGGGAAGTTTACTTTTGTATTTAGCCTGAACACATTTACATCCTCAACTGAAAAGAGCCGTTTATAGTATTGCGTAATCAGCTCTTTAATCTGTAATTCATCTTCCACAAGCTGGCCAAAATCATCTTTGAGGGCTAAAACTCTATTCCTTCTTCTTCTCATTATGGTTTTTAAGTGATAATATCTTGTATTCCTATCACCACTATTAATCCACTCAGTACGAGCTTTTTGAAACCACTTGGTCTCTTCTAATTTCAAGATTTCCTCTAAGTCACGTTGTAAGGAGACTTCCAAATTACATAAGAACTTGGAAAAGGGGTAGGCACTAGCATTTTGAATACCCTTAAGTCTGGCAATAATATTCCTTTTTTCTTTTCAACCAGCATGGTTGCTTACGTTGGGTCGATAACCTTGTTAACATCAAGAGAGCCGGCCCATGTACAGCCCAACTGGATGAAGGTTTGCAAAAATTAAGATTGCATAAGAACTACGCTTCCCTGGCCCAGAAACGAGAACTGGGCTTCCCTCCAGCTGCCAAAAAAAAAAAGGTTGAGTATCGAGGGAAAATATTAAAATAGTGATGTTATTCTGTTATGTACAATGTTCAAAGGATGGGGGTTATATCCATATTTTCACTCTGTATGTCGTGTGAGTGCACAAAAAATCCGCGAACACTATCATCCTCGCCCCGTTGCTACTCTCTTCCAATTCCAGGCTCCAACGTTCGAGCCTACCACCGCCAGAATTGTTTCTTGAAATTCCTCAGCCAACAATTCTCAATAGTTCTCTCTCATGGCGACCGTCTGCTATTTTCCGAGTTGTGTTTCTGCTTCTTCTCACAACCTCTCCTTAACGCACCATCAACAGCTTCTGCAGCCAATAAGAGATCCGCATCCGCTTCCCAAGCATTTCCAAATACGCGCTTCCGCAAATACGACGTCCAGGTTTTCTCTCAATTTATTGGATCGGTGAATTCCCGTGTTTCTTTCACTTTATGTTCTCAAATGGATGAGTCCGCCGTTCAGGAGAAGTAGAAAGCTAAAAAGCGACGCGGATCTATGCAATGACATCCGCGAATTCGTTGCCGCAGCTGGACTTCCGGAGGATCACGTTCCGTCAACCAAGGAGCTTCTGCAACACGGAAGGTTCTTTAGTCTATTTTTTTCCCACTCGCTTCTAATGGGAACTTATTTTATTTTCTTCTTCGTTGCTATCCTTTTCTTTTAACTTTATCTAGTCGTATCAACGTGTTTGCACATGGGATCTTTCATGGACTAACGGATAAGTAAGAAAAATATATTGCAGCGCTGTGAAACGGCATTTTGCTCAAGATTTTTTTAAGTATCATGAAAATCATATCACAATTACATGAACATCATGTGAAGAACTTTCTTATTTGTAGAAATTGTAAGCGAATGCTTAAAGTATGGTGAAATCAGAAGGTGAACTGGTTTAGTTGCTGAGGGACTGGTTCGATTGTGGAGGGATGAGTGTCGTATTTTTTTTTTTAATACAATTAAAACTGAACTATCAATAATAATGAGTTGGGCATGGTTTGAGTTCAATTATTGCATCATCACGGCAAGAATCTAATTTCAAAGGGAAAAAACTGTTCTATCAGTGATACTTAGGCAGATAAATAGAACACCTGGTTAATAACGATCATTCTCATTTTATTACCATTAGTTTCCTGGTTGCCACAGTGAATTATGACCTTGGTTTTGAAGAAATGCTACTTTTATAAAATATTTTTATCTTGATTTCTCTTTTTCTAACATAATCCTTATGTTTGCAGGAATGACCTAGCTAACATTGTCAGACGGAGAGGACATAAACTGCTTCGAAAGCTTCTGACAAGCTCATTAGATTCTGACATTGATGTATTTCATGCAGATAAAAACTTAGACGGCAATTTGGATGGATCAGATGATTGCAAAGATGTTTTAACAGGTCAACTAATTTTCTTCTCTATTAATGCACATTTGTTTTATAATCTTTTGTAAAACAATACTAATGAACTAGTAGAATATTATTTTATAGGGCAGAATTTGAGAGAGGGCACTACGCCTGATGACATCACAGCATCAACTGAAGTTTCTTCGGGGAACAATTCTTCCTGTTTAAATACTGACTTAGCTCCAAATGCAAGTGACTACACTTGCATCTCTAGCGAATCCTCAACTAATTCATCATCCATGGCAGAAATTGACCTAAATGAGCTCCAACATCATGCTAATGAGGTAAAGTATGTGGCTGAGGGACATTGCTCCTCAACTGAAGCATCTATTGTGGATGATGGTTGCAGTAGTTCAAGAGAAGGTCCTGATCCCACCTTTGAGAATGAAAGTTCAATAGCTGCAGAAACTTCTGGGGAATCATATATTGAGGAAAAGCCCTCTCAAAATTTGGGGTATGGTGATAAATGATGAGCAAAATGACTGGAGATACATTGTCATCCACAATTCGCTTAACAGAAAGCCAGTCCAGCACTTCTTTTGCTGATTCAGATCTTGCCACTCAGTACTGGTGTAAATTGGGATTTCCAGATGATAGCAATAATGATGTTGCTGAAAATGTACCCTCAAGCACAGATATAGAATATATATCTGGAGGCATAGAAATTGATTATTTAACTCATTCTGCTGATAATAGTTGCATAAACGTCAACTGTACATCCAATTTGTCTTTGGAGGAGAAGGTTGCAAAATTTATTCAAAGTGGAGATTTAGATCCTGTTGAAGGTACATCAAAATTTTAGTTTTAAAACACCAACATGAATTCCTAAAGTTATATCTTTGACAAAAGTATCATATGATTTGATTTTCAGTATATTGAGAAAAACAAGGAAAAACGAGAAAGTAGAAGCTGTATTATCCTTCTGTCACGTATCAGAGTAATTTTGCAGTCTTGAGATTACCACAATACCATAAATATATTGAGAAATATTTATGTTGCCTCAACTAAGACTTTTTGCTGGAGTGTTTTTGTTATAGTATCCATACTATCCGAATTAAGCTGGTCTTTGGCTCTTCATCAAATACTTACTATCTACAGAATAATCTTAAAGATCTTTGTCCTTTTGTTACCTTTGGAGATGCTTATAAATGTGACTTTTTCGTTTCAGATCATGCCTTTGGGATATTAAATGGAAATGACGGGGAGGACAGCGAAGAGGATATTGAATCAGGATCTGCTGGGGAGATGAAGAAGCACTTTAAACATGCATGTAAAGAAAATACTGCTATGTCATTTTATGGAAGCTCATCAACATCCAAGCAAGTTGTTCCGTCTGCAACAGCCAATCACCTAGTTTGGTTAGTTTTTTATGGAACTTGACTATTCAATTAATGAAATGAAACTGAGGGACTGGCCACAACTCTCTCAAACAGTAACAAGAGAGTAATACATGACAAAATTACTGATCCCTTGATGCTGCAGCTAACCCAGTTGTTCAGCTCTGAATTTCTGGAAGTTTTGCTGTGTATTATTGGGATTTACGTTTGAACTAACATTTTTCTGTGGTATTAAAATTGCATACAGTGAGGATCATTGGCAAGATGAGGATCAAACTGCTCATTTTGATGAAGTTTTTGATGTTGAGGTCATTATGCATCTTCTTAGAAATTTTGTATTGATCAATTTTTCATGACCGTAACTTTTGTTTCTTGCATATTATCATGATGCAGGCTACTAAAAGGCAAAATGAAAGTGAGATAAATAATCTCAAATTCATGCTGGTAGTTATTTTTAAGTTCCTTTTATGCTTTTGCAAATTCTTCCAATGTTTATTTAGGGCGGTTGTGAAACTTATTATATTTTAAATGCTGTTTCATGCATAGTATCAGAAGGAGTTAGAATTGTCTCAGCTGAAGGAACAGATTGAGAAGGAAAAGGTAGATGGTTTCTCTTCTTTTCTCCCTGTATATAATTTTATACTGTTCTTGGTAACCAATCCCTTATGCAAAATTGTTCTTGCATTCAGCTAGCTTTGTATGCCTTACAAACCAAGGCAGAGGAAGAAATCAACAAAGCCAGAAAACTTATCTCTGAAAAGGATGCAGAGTTACATGTTGCTGAAGAAAGTCTTTCAGGATTAAAGGAGGTACAACATCTACCTTTCTTGTGGACTTTTATTTTACTGGTGCAGTAAGGGCATTTTTCAGTAACTCGGTCATGTGGTTTACCTTTATTACCTTGTGAATGAAAATTAGATTAACTGTCTATGAAACATTTGAATTATATACCTGCTGATGGCACTATATGCCCTTATACTTCCAGGTTGGGATTGAGTTCTTTGGTGATGGTGACAATGTGGAGGTGGCTGGCAGCTTCAATGGTTGGCATCACAGAATCAAAATGGATCCTCAACCATCAACAAGTGTCATGGACTCGACTGCATCAAGGTTCTGGATATTACCTTCATCTGATTGTATGTCTCTTTCCATTGTTTGATTCCCCCTGTCTTTTGCTTGGATAACCATGTGCACAAGTTGCCACATTATTTCTAGATTTAAGAGTTAAAAACTATGCTTGTTGATGATTTTCCGTGGTCCCAAATGGTGGTTGGTCTTGTGCTAATCATAGTACCAATAGAAATTAGGCAATTGGTTAACATAGGTTCAGGGACGAAAGTATCATTTCATTGAGTTGAAACTGATTATCAGAGTTTGCCAATGCCTTTTGGGATGCAGAGCAACCCAGTTCTCTGCATATCATAAAATATGACAACATAACAACGTTAGACTACTATTTGAACCAGTTAACCTGTCTTAAAGATAATGATGATATCTTCTGATCGTTGTAATATGTCCAGGAGATCTAGACTTTGGTCAACAGTGCTGTGGCTTTATCCTGGTGTGTATGAGGTGCGTGTATATTCTACCTGTGAGGTTAAGATGCTGGTATCTTTCATATTCAGAATTGGCTATAATTAATTAGTTCAATGATGGTATAGTTTTGATAAATTTTTAGGAGGTATACTTCTTCATGCCTGAATTTGAGAACATTTCCCATTAAATGGTTGGCTTTTCAATATTCTTAAACAAATGTTAATTTTTCTTTGGCCAATTAAAGGTGCATGTATCAAGAAGCTTGTTGAGTGTGAACGCATGGAATCAAGCTTGCCTATATGCTCTAACGGAGGGTTCATTCTCTTAGCATTGTTTCAAAATGTATCTAATTGCATTCTCCAACACGCAAATCCCTAACTTCTTATCATCTCTAAAAACCCCAGATTTTACGTTTTTCCAATTTGAGCTTCCATTATTCAAATTGGGATTAAACTTTACCTTATAGAACTGGGAATCAGAAATTGAAGTGCGAGTGTGGCATTTTGGAAGTTCACCGATTAAAACGTCAAATTTGAGGTGAAGAGCATGACTATTGGCCGGTTTAAAGTTTTAGTAACTGTTTGTTGCAGATAAAATTTATTGTTGATGGCTACTGGAGAATAGATTCTCAAAGGGAGTCAGTTACAAGAGGTCATATATGCAACAATATACTGAGAGTAGATAGATAACATCTGGCTGTGGTCTCAAATCTGCTCGCAGGATAGAAGAGGTAACATCATTATCGCCATCTTGACTCCTTAAATGCAATTTAGATATTGATTATTGACAATAAACTTTAGGAATTGAGTTGTAGGTTTAAATTACAATCAAAGATCCCAATTCTGTACCACATTTTAATTGATGTATTAGTCTTGTAGATGTAGGGTGTAGTAAATTATCAAAACTGATAGTGAAGCCGTTTTTGACAATTGACAAGGGTTGGATGGGCAACTTTCACATGAACTATAGTTTTTCTTTCACATGAACTCCGCTAATGTTTATAACTGGTTCCAAGCACAAGTAAAGGAGGATGGTTGTGTTAGATCCTGAATAGCTATTGTAAAATTTTGTTGAATCTCACACCTTGTTAAGAGAGGTATAGGAAAGTCAGAGAGAATATTTATGGAAATTGTTGACTGAGACCTCTTTGTTAACGATATTTCAAAAAGCTTGGTAAATAAAAGAGTGCAATGGCATCATACGATCCTTATAGCCGGTCCTACCTGATGGGATAAGGCTTGTTGTTGTTGTTGTTTTAGACAAGAAGGAATGATCTTGATCTCAACTGTGTCTCTAATTTGGTACTAGAATGGTGTCTTAGCTCAGTTATGGATAACTATTGGTGTTATTATAGTTTGTGTTTCTGGACTGATGGAATTTTGTTCCCAAGATAATTCCATCCCTGTATAACGTTAGGTTGAAATGGTTGATATATTCACCTCCTCATTATCCAATCTACGCGAAGGTTGTGTGCTAAAGGTCCGATTAACTTATTTGTTTCGTATTGTTATAGGCTGCAGAAGAGTACAATGGTTGATTGCTGGGAATTTCTACTCAATGCCATTCAATGAACGAGTCATGTTGGACAAAATTGTGGACGGTATTGGAGCATGGAATGCAAGAGCGAGCGTAATCTAGACGAGGATGCCTTCTGGTACTATTCTGTTTGTTGTGCAAAAAATTTACGCAAATGAGATTCAGAGATCGTTGAAGACTGTACAGGTAGCTAGAAAATAGGGTGAAAATGAGTTCCTTTGTTTTTGTTTTTTCATTTTCAGTATTAATTATTATTTATCCGTTTCTTTTTGGCGATTTTAAAAGTCACAACAACCATATCAAAAATAAAGTTCATAATGCTGTGCTATGCAAATTTTTTTTTGTGGGGGCCACTGCTGTGCCATGTAAATTTATGGAGGTGGTATTCTTTCCCAAAATAGTTTCGAGGGGCACTACTCTTGGAATTACTTAATTTTATATTTTTAAGGTGCTTGTAATTAAATTTAAGCATATGTATTTTTATAGATTATTTATTCTATAGCAATTTATTGTTGTTAATATTATTAACACATTTAAATTTTTGATTTGATTGGATAAAAGTATATTATTAAATATATGATGCCAAGGGAAAAAATTTATATACCTAATTTTATATGCTTAAAGTACTTGTTTTCAATCATATCAAGATATGTGAATTTTTTATATATAATTTATTTTATAATAATCTCGTCATTAATAATATTAATATATTAAAATTTATTTGTCTTGATTTAATTGAATAAAAATATATTAAGCTTATGGGGTTAAGTATATCAGTTTTTTTTTTTTTATAATAATTACACAAGTCTTGTCCTGAAAAATATACTTGATCGTTACCGCGAGGTATGTCGGAATCCAATTGTCTATGTAAAATTATGAACATGATTCATTTCGTGCCACCCAGAAAGTATGGAGCTACATTCTCGTTTCTTTGAATAAGGGGGAGAAATAAAAAATAATTAAGCGTAATAGCATATGTAAAAATGCCTTTGATATTTCTCTTTCTTTGAATAAAGGGGAGAGGAAGGAGGGAGGGAGAAGCGGGAAGCTGGAGAAGGGATGAAAATGGTGCAGAGAGAGAGAGAGAGAGAGAGAGAGGTGCTTCAGGTTGAAGAAGAAGATCAAAAGTTGCAATGTCCACGTAGCTTAGGTTGGAAAGAAGGGAAAAGAAAAATTTAATCAATAAAAAATGACATGAACTTACACATGGCAGCTAGGAAACATTTGAATCTGTTAACCTAGGGCAACATTATACTTGAAAAAAAATATGTCAAGGTGCAATTACATCAAAAGAATAGTGTAGGATATGGAGTGTGTTTGGAGAGAAATATCAATGACATTTTTGTATCTTAACCCTACTTATGCCTCTTATACAGCCAACTTCCATGCTCTGGTACATCTCTTAAAATAATTAAAGTTTTACATTCTAAAAGTTTAGGTGAATGATACAGAGTTGAAGGCCTATTATGAGTGTATTTAAATTTCAGTTGAGTATAATTGATTATAAAAAAATTAATTGATATAATTGATTTTAATTTTTAAATATAATTAATTATGTTATGTAGTATATAATTGATTAATAATAAGATAGATTTTAACCAAATTTAAAAAGTAGAATTGGAAATTAGGTAAAACTATAATTTTGTAAAAAATATATCCAAACACCATATTATATGTTAGAATTAATTACGAATTTAAAATTATGTTTCAAAAAAAAAAGTCCAAACACTCATTATATATGCCAAATTCAATTACAAACTCAAAATAATAATTTTTTTAAAAAATATCCAAACACGTCCATACATGCCAACATCAATTATGAACTTAAGATCATCTATATTTCATAAACTACTATTACTTGCTTTTTAATTCAATTGTTCAATTATACATTTCTAAAAATTTATTCAAAAATCATATAAATTATTTTGTAAATAACATTTTTTAATTCATAATTAATTTTAACAAAGTAAAAGGTGATGAGCTATTTTAAAAAAAATTATAATTTTAAATTCATAATTATTTTTAGCATGTATAATAGATATTTAAATATTTTTAAAATATAATTTTGAATTTATAATTAATTTTAATGTATAATATGAATATTTATATATATTTTTATAAAATTATAGTTTTGACCTTCAAGATTGATTCTAAATGTCACCTAAGCACAAAGATTGGGCTGGACCGAGGAGCGTGTTGAAACCACGTGGAAACCTGGAAAGGTGTATTTTGCTTGTAGGCGTGTCTCTTTCCTCACCGCTCCACACTCGTCTTTCTCTATTGCGAGCCTTTCCACCTTCACTAGCTAGGATCCCTTTGCGGTCCTCAACTAAGCTCGGGAACCACCTGCACATATCCTCTTTTTGCTGCATTCTTTGTTCACTCATGGCGATGGTTAGTGCTTCTGCTGCTTGTATTAGTCTAAGAATTCAACATCCTCTATTGCCATCATCATTTCTCAAGGTGCCGTCTCAATCCAATTGTTCCTTGGCATTAGCTCCTGCGACCACAAGAACTAGAAGACCTCTTCACAGCAAGTGTTTTGTGGTAAAGGAGGAATTTCCCGAGCCTGTTGGCCAGGCCGAGGAAGGAGTAGAGTTGAGGGAGAACAGCGAAACTCTTCTCTACTCTTTCTCTCCCCTGCCATTGTTGTACGCCGCTGCACTGCTACCTGGAGGTATTTTGATTGTCTCTGTTATTCTGTAAAATTTAAGTTAATCTGATGCCTGCTTGGTTCAGTTTGGCTGAGAATGCCAAAGATGAGAGTACGGTATAAATATAATATTACTTTGTTATGATAAGTCCAATGTTAACAGCTGGGGCTGTGCGATCTGTATTTGGGCCTTTTGTTGAGCTTGTCAAATCATGGAATCTCCCAGATTGGCTCGTGCATTGGGGTCACCCTGCCAACATGGTATTTCTACAGGCTCTTAACTACTGTAGAAACTTTAAATCTTTCTGATTACCACAAATTTCACAACAATCTTTTCCACGCTAATTCACTTGCAGGCAGTTGTGCTCTTTGCCATGGGTGGCTATGGAACTTATCTAGGTTTCCGTATACGTTATTCTGATGATGTGGTAAGATATCTGATGCCAGTTTTGCCACATCTGAGTTCTGTTTTCCGTCATTGTTGCCGTGTGATCTCAATTAGCTCGAACTATTTGGTTTTTATTTTCTTGAATAATTTCAGGACGAGAAGGCTAAGGCCAAGGACTTACACCCAAAGCTTTTAGGTGGTATGTTTATCTTCTTTGCGCTAGGTGCTACTGGTGGAATAACGTCTTTGCTAACGTCAGATAAACCTATCTTTGAGAGGTAGTCGGCAAATATTGTTTCCTTTACTTTAGTCATGGTTGATATTAATATTACTGATTGTTCGTTGGTTCAAAGTTGTCGTTTCAGATTTTTTTTTTTTTTGAATTCACCTCCACACACACACACACACAAGCTTATCTTTCAAAGTACATAATCATCATGTCATCTCATGTAGTTGTTTATTTTTCCGTATGTAGTCCTCATGCTGTTACAGGCGTCACTGGCCTTGCTCTGTTGACAATACAAACTATATTGCCTTCACTATTTGAGGTAATTGCTATTTTCTGGTATCGCTGTTATCATTTCCAAGAACCAAATCGTCATCCAATGAGAATGTGAGAGCAGCTAACGTGCATCTAATATGCAGGGGAATCCTGCCCTAAGGAATGTTCACGGTATCTTGGGTAGCGGTATCATGACGCTCTTTCTTATTCATGCTGCTCTGGGACTTCAATTAGGCCTTAGTTACTAATTGTAACACGGATTGATCCTGCATTAGTATTCTGAGCGATTATTCTTTTTTTTTTCATTATGGTGTACATTCTTTCCTGGACGTGGCTCTTAACTTCAATCTGAAATGAGACCCCCAAGTACGAGGATGGTTGATTCTCCTCTAACATTTTGTTTAAATTGAAGCCAACCTTGTTTACATATCTATACATTCAATGATAAATAATCATCCTTCATGCGGTTTCGTCTCAGGAATAAAATTCGGGTACATTATATGGTTGAATTAGATTCCGATCGCAGTTTCTGAGTTGTCGGGTCAACTCGTAGTTAAGAACTTATTATTCGTTAATGATCAGGTGAACAACCAATAGAGTCCAGAGATAAAAAATAGTATATATAAATGGTACAAATTTGTTCCTGGCCTGTGCTTTTGTATGCTGCATTGCTCCCGGCATATTTTATGTCGTGTTTGACTATCTGCCGTCATGTAATAGTATAGTAAATGGCGGAGTCATTTGATAATTAACATTAGCAATGCTGCAGATATATAATTATAATAGCCATTATCTTGGATCGGACGTGGAAGGGCATATGTACGAGTTTGAAAAAGAAGACCAGACGGATCGCACGAGATGTCATGTGACTGAGAATAAAGATAAAAGCAGCAAAACACAAACCACAAAAGGCAGAGGGAGCGAGTCATGCGTCGGTTTTCTCTCCCTTCCAAATCTTTTAAGTTATATATATTCACATACAAAACTATTACCCCTCCCTCTTGTTCTAATTCCTCACGTTTCGCACTCTCTGTCTTGATCAAAATCACTCGGTACGTACCTCACCCCCCCACCCCCCTCTTCGCCATATTCTAGTTTCTTAATTCAACCTATCATATCCAAAGTGCATCGTTGTCATGATATTTGGGATTTAGATCTCCATAATTCAATATATCATATCCAAAATGCATCTTTGTCCTGATATTTTGGATTTAGATCTCCATTATCTCTTGTCTGTAAAATCCAATTCTCCGTATTCTATTAACTTGTAGGTCTAGCATTTTTTTTTTTAATTCTTTCGGAATATTCTCTTCTTCCTAGTTCTTGTTTCATCTGCATTGTCGATGTCAATTTGTACATGCCGCTTAGATTTCCTATGCTTGTAGTTAGTTGCAACGTGCAGATCTAGCTTATATCTAGCTTATCTATTATCTACTTGTGTTGTTTGTGAATATCACAATTTTATATGGGGACCCTGAAACCGTGATGACAAATATTAGAGCCTCAATTCATAATTACAAATTGCATAAATAAAACAGTTATTTTTCAGTTTCTTTTTTATATTAATTATAATTCAATTACTTATAAAAGTTTAATAAATACTTCATAACTTTTTCGCTTTTATATTTTATCAATAAAATCTCTAAATTAGAAAATTAGCAATTCTTTTCTGATTTTTTCGCCAAGAGGTTGTATTGACTACTGAATGGAAAGTTGGTAATGTCTAAACTTATCTGTATATTCATCAATCCTTTCATTGTAGCTATTTTTTGTAAAGAGGTAATATTGTTAAAATGTTACAAGTGATTTTTTAAATTTGTTGCAAGTAACGTCTTGTATAAATATAATAATTCGTGTTATCATATTTTGTTGCTTTCATTTTAAAATTCAATTTTACTTGGTTTTATTTCAATATAAATTTAGCTTTTGTGGCCTTTGATTACAAAATCGATTATAGTTGGAGCTGCTGCTTTTGTGATCATTTGATACTTCGATATTCTATGTTCTGTTTTATCGATCATATTATAACCGGATCAAATAGGCGACTGATATAAATTCTGTCCCCTTTTTGTTTTGGCACACTCAGAGATGGACACCTTCCTTTTCACCTCTGAATCAGTAAACGAAGGCCACCCTGACAAGATCTGCGATCAGGTCTCAGATGCCATCCTAGATGCTTGCCTGGAGCAAGACCCGGAGAGCAAAGTTGCATGCGAGACCTGTACAAAAACTAACATGGTAATGGTGTTTGGTGAGATTACAACCAAGGCTAAAGTGGATTATGAGAAAATAGTTCGTGACACTTGCAGAGGCATTGGATTCGTATCAGCTGATGTTGGGCTTGACGCCGATAGATGCAAAGTTCTTGTCAACATCGAGCAGCAGAGCCCTGATATAGCTCAAGGAGTTCATGGTCACATGACCAAAAAACCTGAGGAAATTGGAGCTGGTGACCAAGGTCACATGTTTGGCTACGCCACAGATGAAACACCTGAGCTAATGCCACTTACTCATGTTCTTGCAACCAAACTGGGTGCCAAGCTCACAGAGGTCAGAAAGAACAAAACATGCCCGTGGCTGAGGCCCGATGGTAAAACCCAAGTGACTGTTGAGTACAGGAATGATAATGGAGCCATGGTTCCTATCCGCGTGCACACTGTGCTCATCTCAACTCAACATGATGAGAGTGTCACGAATGAGAAGATCGCTGCAGATTTGAAAGAGCATGTAATCAAACCTGTGATCCCGGCTGAATATCTTGACGACAAAACTATCTTCCACCTCAACCCCTCTGGTCGATTTGTGATAGGTGGCCCTCACGGAGATGCAGGACTCACCGGCAGGAAGATTATCATTGATACCTATGGCGGGTGGGGTGCACATGGTGGAGGTGCCTTCTCCGGCAAGGATCCGACTAAGGTTGATCGGAGTGGTGCATACATAGTTAGGCAGGCAGCGAAGAGTGTGGTGGCTTCTGGGCTTGCCCGACGCTGCATAGTGCAGGTTTCTTATGCAATTGGAGTGCCAGAACCACTGTCTGTTTTTGTGGACACTTACAAAACTGGAAAGATACCAGATCATGATATCTTGGCTCTGATTAAGGAGAATTTTGACTTTAGGCCAGGAATGATTTCCATCAATCTTGACCTCAAACGAGGAGGCAAATTCAGGTTCCAGAAAACTGCTGCTTATGGTCACTTTGGAAGAGACGACCCCGATTTCACTTGGGAGACCGTGAAGCTGCTTAAGCCCGAAGCTTGAGGTAGCCATGGCATTTTCACAGGCGGTTAAAATGGTAGCCATCTTTTGGTTTTGTATTTAGGGGGAAAAGAAATAAAGGAGCTTCAGTGCGTGCATCGATTCATGAAGACACATTACCCAGCTTTGATGAGAAATTGAAGCAGAGACAAATACTTGGCTTTCGCACAATAGGAGCTTGTAGAATTAGTTGGTTTTTGTTTTTACCCCTTTAAAGTTTCTTTGCTGTACCGATCATTTTTATCCTCTTTTAAGCCATTGATTGTTGTGCAAACTTTGAGTGATTCTAGTGATACCATTTATATGACTTTTCCAAATTCCAATTCACCACTTACATGACGCATAATGAGAGAAATTGCCAACAAATTCTCCACTGACAGAAGATTAAAGAATTGTGACAATAATCTTCAGAAAAAGCTGCTTCTTCTAATCACAGTTTAAATGATACAAACAAATATGTTGTAGAACGACTGTCTTATTTTTTTACGAGTGCAACCACAGGCGATCATGCAATCTCTCCTCTCCAGCACCAAACATCTCATCGACCTTTTCACCATCTCGGAAGAATTGGAAGGTCGGGGTGTATCGAATGTGTTGAGTTGTTTCCGGGCATTCATCAATATCCGCGTATATGAAAGAAAGCTTCGGGAAATTATTGCTCAGTCTACAGAAAGCAGGCAGGATTTGACTGCACACGCGACACCTACAAGAAGGGCGTAACTATGAGCATCAGCAATCGTGTTTTTCTGCATCCCATGATGCAAATAATAACATGTTCAAGAAATTATTGCTAGACCCATTTTACTGTAACTTCCTAACATTATGTATCCCCATCTTCAGCAAGAACCGACTAGAGTTCCATGAAACCACCATGGTTCAAATGTTCAAAGAGTTCCAACATCAAACACCTTGTGCTCATTCTTAAACACGCAGAATAAACGGATTCACAAATTGGGAAGATGCAAAGGAAACAAAACGTTGGTAAAAGAAATAATCAGAGACGTACCAAGACGCGCCATAATTGATAACAGCCTGCAAAGAATTTGGCAACAGAGAAATCAATGCCACGCATAAAACTAGAGGTTTTCCTAAAAAATACGAGAAAGGAAGAAAAAGGAGTCGACGGTTACAGGAGTTTTGGAGGATTTGATGTGAAGAAGAAAGTCGGTGAGTTGTTGGTCGGTGGAAGCGATTTTCAAGTTGCCGCGAGGATCGAGGGGTAAATCTGAAGCAGTGCCGTTATTATTCAAACCTTCCTTACTCTCTTCGCTGCCCCTTTCCATTGTTTGGACTTTGGACAACACTAGTAGGATTCCAGGTTCGAGGTTGCTGGCTCAAGCAGCCACATATTCCCTCTAATCCCCCAATAAAGTAAAATAAATTACTTGATTTTAAATTAACATTATTTTTTTAATATTTATTTTTATTTAATAAAATACATTATTTTACAATAAATATAAAATAATTTATTTATTAAAAATATTAAAAATAATATAATGATTATATCTCGAAATATTTAAAATATCTCATATTTTTAATTTCTAAAAAGAATGCATCCTTAGATTCGATTTCAGTGCGAGGGCCCCAAATGGCTAACGCTACGTGGCACAATTATTGGCGTTCGATTAAATTGGCATAGTGATTTGCTGAAATGAAAAAATTACAGAATCAAGCTTTCAGATTGAGGCCTCGATAATGAGAGAGGTCTTTTAGGTTGGAGAGAGATTTCTTCCTCTCGACCACGATATCAAGATCGAGTTGATAAGAACATGTAAAAGTGTACAAAATCAAACTGAAGCATGAACAGAGAAGCAAGAACCTAGGAGCGAAAGTCAAAACTTAATGTCGTCACGATTGGACAAAACAGCTTTGGCATTTCAGCCAAAATTTCATAATACTATTGGAAAAAGCTTCACAAAGCAAGTTCCCTAGGATATTTTGTTTGGATATGTCTGTTGGGATGTATGGTGTGACAAGTGTAAGAAGGCGTCCACTAATGAGGAGGAGGAATGAATAGGCACGGCCATAGCGACTTTGTACAAAGCAAATCATGATCTACAACTAGTTAGATCATCTTTTCCTTCAAAGAAACAAGTAGGTTTTATAAATTATTGATGGAGCAAACCTGATGTTGGATATGTAAGATTAGATGTGGATGGTTCAGTAGTAAATGGAATAGGAAAATGTTGTTTAAGATTGTAATGCTAATTGAGTGAGTGGCTTTAACGTCTGTATTAACTTTTATCTTGTTCTTGTAACTAAGTTGCTTGAAATTATTTATGAGCTTCAATTTTGTTGAGATATGGGTTTGCAGAAAGTTAAAGTGTTTATTGACTATATTGATGCGATGAACCTCATTCTCAAATGTCATTAGGATTATCACCCGTACATGAATATTATCACATAGGCTCATTTTGTGATCTAACAAAACTAGATATATCTTTGAATCTCATGTTTAGGGTGGTTAATTATGATGCTCACTTTTTGACTAAATTTGCCATAAATAAAATAGGTGAGTTTTAACCTTTCAATCAACCTTCACCTTTTTATTTGCTACTTTCATGACTTGCTTTTGTAATTCAAAAAAAAAAAAGAAAAAAGAAAAAAAAAGACGTTGCATTGAAATGGGTACCAGACCCGAGGTGTACGAGAAAAGGACAAGAAAGCAAGGATTGGCCGCAAGCGAAAGCTACCAATTGCTTATGTCGTAAGTCCTAACGACGCATGCACCGTTGATGACATCTCTTGGCTTTGGTATTGCCACGTCGGGAAGACACTGAGGCATGATGAATTAATCCTCGAACGGGACCCACTTTCTAATCGGGTCGGTCATCTACTTTCCAAACATCTCGAATTATTTGCACTTGACATTTTTGGCCTAGCAAACAAAAAAAAAAAAAAGCAGCTTTAGGCACAGACATTTAATTTACAAATTATAAAAATAACTCAAATGTTGATTAATAAATTACCTGTCGAGTAAATAAATCTTTCACATTTAGTTTTTTTTTATATAATCACGTTTAAGCTACAATAATAAATCTATTTTGCAATCTTCTTGACCAAAGCCCAAAACGATTGATTCTAATATGAACTGATTTAATCACAATTATAGAGATGTTCTAATGACAATTTTTTTACTATATATTCAAATGTATTTGACTTTCAAACAAACTCAAGGGCATATTTGGTTGGAGGAGAGATGTCTCACTCCCTCATTTGATTTAAAAAATTTGGAGGAGAGGGGAGTCAAAATGTCCCCTCCCCTTCCCTTCTTTCATTTTGGCCTCCTTCAAATTGAGAATTTTTGAAGAGGAGCCAAAATTTTTAACTATTTTAGCTTCATCCAATTTTTTATATTTCATATATGTCCTAAGCCCAAAAAAAATTGAAAAAAAAAAACTTTTTTTCATTCAAGTGTGTAATTTCTCCTGCTAACTGTTTCCCATTCACAACCCTAATAATTTTCTTTCTTTCTTTTCATTTTTTTTAATATCTCCCTTATATATACATTTTTTAACTTTTCTATCACTCATAACTTTTATAATGTTCCTTATTGAAAGCTTTTTATGATGTGAGTCTGACATAAGAAAAAGACTTTGTTGCCAATGGCCAACATATATAATATTTTTCATTAAAATTTTTCATAAGGCATTACTTTTTTTATATAATTGTTGATGAAGGTTACTTATGTGGGCAGAAAAAGTAAGAAAAAGTTAAAAAAATTAATAAGATGTTTTTTTAAAATAATATACATATAAAATTGATTTGTACAAGAAGAAGTTAAATAAATAAAAATTTTTTGCATAAGAATATAATGATAACTTAATTATTATCTCCCCTCCCCTCATCTCCCTTTCCAAACAAAATAAATGATCATTAAAAATTTCTTTCCTCCTCTTCGTTCCATCCCCTCAAACCACCCACATCCTAAGAGTTAAGACTATCCATCTAATTCAGATAATAATACTGAGTTAACTTCTACCACCCAAAAAAAAAAACCAAGTTACCAACCCACCCAGTGGAGATGTCTATTGTCCAATCTTCCATAGTTTCGCCAAAGGCTGGTTTTCCCAATATCAGGTAAACGTACGATTCTCACAGAGGCAAGGATCTTTCGACTATCTTCCAACTCTGTGCAGATCTTGTCCTCGTCGCGTCACCTCCTCCGTCCACCGTCTCTGAGTTGCTTCCAGTGGTGGTGATCTCCTGCTATGGTCGAGGAAGGCAGTAAGCTTTATCTATACTCTGTTTCCTCGATCTGCTCATGGTCCTCCGTCTGTCGCTGATCTGCTCGTTGTCCTCCGTCCGTCGCTGATCTGCTCGTGGTCCTCCGTCCGTCGCTGATCTGCTCGTGGTCCTCCGTCCGTCGCTGATCTGCTCGTGGTCCTCCGTCGGTCGCTGATCTGCTCGTGGTCCTCCGTCGGTCGCTGATCTGCTCGTGGTCCTCCGTCGGTCGCTGATCTGCTCGTGGTCCTCCGTCGGTCGCTGATCTGCTCGTGGTCCTCCGTCGGTCGCTGATCTGCTCGTGGTCCTCCGTCGGTCGCTGATCTGCTCGTGGTCCTCCGTCGGTCGCTGATCTGCTCGTGGTCCTCCGTCGGTCGCTGATCTGCTCGTGGTCCTCCATCCATCGCTGATCTGCTCGTGGTCCTCCGTCGGTCGCTGATCTGCTCGTGGTCCTCCATCCATCGCTGATCTGCTCGTGGTCCTCCGTCGGTCGCTGATCTGCTCGTGGTCCTCCGTCCATCGCTGATCTGCTCGTGGTCCTCCGTCCATCGCTGCTCTGCTCGTGGTCCTCCGTCCGTCGCTGCTCTACTCGTGGTCTTCTTCAGTCGGTCTAACTCAGAGGTAAGTGATCTTCTCTTTCTGGACGATCTTGTTCAGGTTTGATCTTGGTCAAATTTTGTTTTCCTCTCCACTCTGATCTATGCATGGATGGATTTGTTCTCGGGATTGCTGGCTTAGTTTTGTGTGGCTTGAACCATTTACAACTCTTGAACATTTGCAAATAATAAGATGGGTGAAAGTTGATTTTTTATGCTATTTCTGTGTTAGTTTTGTGCCTAGTTGAACTCTGTGCTGAACATGGGAGATCTGTTAAAAGTTAATTTTGTAGCTATTGAAACTTGATTTTAGTCAAAATCTATGCATTTGCAAATTGTGGGAAAGCTGGTGAAAGTTAATTTTGTGCCAAGTCGAACTCTTTGCTGGTTTTGGTTTGTGATCACTGATTACTGGAGCTTTATTCTCAAACATTATGTTTTGCATATATAGGGGTCATTTAGTCGAATTTTTTGCTGTGTGAGTCTCTGTTGAATTTGGCTCCTCTGAAAATTGCCAAGTTTTTATCATGTAATATTTTAATTATAATTTCTATAATTAATATGTTAGTTTTTTACATAGTATAATGAGTAACAATAAGTCAAAAGCTTCATGGGATCGAAGAAATACTAGAATCTTTATTGACATTTGTTTGGAACAAGCTCGAAAATCGCAAAGAAATGGTGGTAGTTTTACCAAAGCAGGATGGCTCAGCATAATTTCTACCTTCAATGAGAAGACTGGACAGAAATATGACAGACAACAATTCAAGAATAAGTGGGATAATATGAGAAAAAAGTGGGTACTATGGGATAAGTTAGTTTCAAGTGAGACAGGATTGGGTTGGGATTATGCAAACAATACTGTGGATGCTTCAGACGATTGGTGGGAGAAGAAGATATTGGTATGATGTTATTATATGAGGCTTTATATTTATTTTATTTATTTGTGTATTATGTAATATTATTGATAATTTATGTGCAGGAAAATCCTTTATATGAGAAATTCAGACATAAAGGATTACCATTTGCCAATGAATTAACCGAGTTGTTCCAAGGTACTATCGCTAATGGACCTAGAGCATGGGCACCTTCAAGTGGAGTTTTGCCTAACATTTACAATAGGAATGAAGGTGAGGATGAAGAGGTGTATCGGCCTGATATGGCAAATGAGGGTATTAATTTGGAGGAAGGTTCAGGAGATAGTGATGAGATCTTAGGAACTACTGGAGTAAGCGGTGAATTTAATAGAGTAATTCTAAATGCTTCTCAAGGAACCTTAAGTGGAAGCAGTGGTAAGAGGAAGAGGGGCGAAAGCAGTAACGGTAGAAAGAAGAACAAGTTACCTAGTACAAGTCAAATAGCAGATGCAATGAGTGTGATAGCTCAGACAACAAAGGAAGAATCTCAACAGGCCAAGGAAACATCAATTCCCGAAGTCATGTCTATAGTCAAACAATGGGAAGAAGTTGCAACTGATAAACATTGGGTTTCACGATGCATGTCACTCTTCATGTCCCGAGAGGCTAGGGTGATGTTTTTGACGATGAAGGATGATAAAGAAAGCGTTTTGGAGTGGTTGAGATATGAATGTTACAAAAATGGTTGATTATTGGAGTTTTAAAACTTATTATGAGTATATGATCTTACTTAAAAAGTAATCTAACATGTTTGTATTATATTGTAGAATTTAACTTATGTAGCCTCTTGAACTACTTATGTACTTTTTATGTATGGTAATTGAGTATTACAATGTTGTGGAAAAGTCATTGGTATTTCTATAGATGACTTATTTAGATGTATCTATAATTGAAATTAAGTGCACGTATTATTTATGTGTTTGGCTACAGATAGCAAGACATATGGAAGAGTCATCTAAAAAAAGGCTAAATAGAGCCCAAAAAGTTAGTGCTCTCATTGGGTTGTATGCAACAAGACATTTGTGCAAAGAGCCACGAAGAAATAGTGAATATACAGGTCATTTGTGGGTGAATGAAATTTTAGAAGGACACCCAGTTCGTTGCTATGAAATGTTTAGAATGGAACCACATGTGTTCCATCAATTATGTAGTGAATTGACACGACATGGATTGAAGGATACTAGGCGAATGAGAGTACAGGAGATGGTTGCAATTTTTTTAAATACAATTGGATATGGGTTGGGAAATAGGATGGCACAAGAAAGATTTTAACATTCAGGAGAGACTATTCATAGACATTTTCATAAAGTTTTAATGGCTTCCTCGAAACTTGCAATGGAATATATTAAACCACAAGACAAGTCCTTTCGTCATGTATCAAACAAAATAGAAAATGATAAGCGATATTGGCCATTCTTTAAAAATGCCATTGGAGCAATTGATGGCACACATATTCCATGTGTAGTCCCTGCTAGTGAAAAATCAAAATATATTGGAAGAAAAGGAATCCCTACGCAAAATGTAATGGCTGTGTGTGATTGGGACATGTGCTTTACTTTTGTCTTGGCTGGATGGGAGGGCACTGCACATGATGCTCGCATTTTTCAACATGCCCTGACAGCTCGATCCATGAACTTTCCACACCCGCCTTCAGGTATTTTTATTTGTTCAATTTATTTGTGTTAGACTTTCCACCTTACAGGCATTGATAGTAATTTTTTTTACAAGGTAAATATTATTTGGTGGATGCTGGTTATCCAACACCAAATGGATATCTTGGTCCGTATAGACGGGAACGCTACCATCTTCCTGATTTTAGAAGATCAACTGGATTTGCAAATAATAACGAGGTCTTTAATTATTTTCATTCAAGTTTACGGTGCACAATAGAAAGAACATTTGGAGTTTGGAAGAAGAGGTTTGCAATTTTACGCAACATGCCTAGCTATGACTACGATATACAAGTTCAAATCGTTGTTGCATCAATGGCGATACATAATTTTATTAGAAGACACTCTAACTCTGACGCTGATTTTATGCATCATGAGATGGAAGATCAGGAAGATTATGAGGACCAAGAAGACCATGGCGTTGATGGATATTCATCCATGACATCTTCTTCATCAGCTATGACTAGTATTCGTGATATTATTAGGGACCAACTTGTATATTATCATCTTCATTAGTTGTTGTAAAATTACTGTTTTATATTTAAGAATTTAATTTTCTTGTCTTTTATTGAATTTATTTTAAGCAAGATATATTTAGTTATTTATTTACATAAATTTAAATGTTAATATTAATATAATTTAAATTTTTAATTAATTATATATGTAGTTTAAATAATATATTTTGCTTTTTAAATAAAATGTAACAACTTTAATACTATTACATACAAATCTATCATTAATTTAAATTTAAAAAACAATGTCCTTTATGGTAAGTTAAACAGCTAAAATTGATTCTAAAAAAATTATCCAAACATCTTCAGTTCTGTTAAAATCAATTTTAGAAAAACAGCATCCAAACATATTGCGTTCTAACATAATCAATTATGATTAAAATCTACCACTTAATCAATTATTTTCATAATCTATTATGCCCAACTGAAATCCAAACGGAGCCTATAATGTTCCTTATTGAAAGCTTTTTATGATGTGAGTCTGACATAAGAAAAAGACTTTGTTGCCAATGGCCAACATATATAATATTTTTCATTAAAAATTTTTCATAAGGCATTACTTTTTTTATATAATTGTTGATGAAGGTTACTTATGTGGGCATAAAAAGTAAGAAAAAGTTAAAAAAATTGATAAGATGTTTTTTTAAAATAATTATACATATAAAATTGATTTGTACGAGAAGTTAAATAAATAAAAATTTTTCGCATAAGAATATAATGATAACTTAATTATTATCTCCCCTTCCCTCCCCTCATCTCCCCTTCCAAACAAAACAAATAATCATTAAAGATCTCTCCCCTCCTCTTCGTTCCATCCCCTCAAACCACCCACATCCTAAGAGTTAAGACTATCCATCTAATTCAGATAAATAATACTGAGTTAACTTCTACCACCCAAAAAAAAAAAAAAAAAAACCAAGTTACCAACCCACCCAGTGGAGATGTCTATTGTCCAATCTTCCATAGTTTCGCCAAAGGCTGGTTTCCCAATATCAGGTAAACGTACGATCTCAACAAGCAGAGCCATAGACCGTTGAATGTCCCCCACAGTAAACGAGCTTTCTGCTTTTCACGAGGTAGATTATAATAAAACTAAAAATATGCCAATTAGCAAAGCTAATGACTTAATACAAGATGCTACTTAAAAGCATGGATTTCCAACCCCCCCCCCCCCAAAATGAAAGTGTAAATGGAGTTATGAATTAAGCTAATCTTATTCAGTAATGGTCTAGGTTGAAGTCCCCTGAGGAATAAATAATGCTCTGAAATACATTCACTGTTGCCAAAAGAATTGAAGCTTCTGTGATCTTTTGTGCCGGTTTTCCCTTCTCTTCTACCAAGACAAGCAGCCTTGATTTTCTTCCTACGTACTTGGTTCAATGGAGCAAGCATAACCTGTATCTGGATCACTATGATCACGAGATGATCCAACGCCCAAAACCATGATCATTTGGTTCAAATCCATTACAAGGATCAAGAAGAATAGAATATCAACCTAGTTTGTTTCCATGAAAGTATCTGGACGAAACTTTTTGCCTAACGCATTTACAGCCGCTTCAAGGCGTGCTTGGTCCTGCAACAAAATCCCCAGATTAGTCTTACTAGAGATTACATATTACACATGACACAATAAAGAAGTGCTCATAATACCACAGTTAGGCTGTACCTTTCCTTCGAAACTTATTATCAGAGATCCATGTCTGGATTTGCGGTAACAACCTTGATGTTACAAAGAAAAGAAAAAGATGAACATCATGTCATAAACAGCTGGAATTTAAAATAGTTCACTAAATACACACCAATAAAAAGGTCAGGAAATTCAAGACAAAGCTTCGATAGAGGTTGCGCAATTTCAACCTGCAGTTTAGAGTTCCCCAGATGAAAAATTGTAAACAAGACGATCCCGTGAGTGAAGAAAATGAGAAGGCGTACAAAGCACAGATAGCATGTCCATGTCACATGCCATGAAAAATTACATATCTACAAACTTCTGATCTTAAACATACCATATTAAAAGCATTTAGAAAACTACTGTACACATTATCTCTAGTTGCGATAATAAATTTTTATTCAAGCAGGTGAAAAATCAAAAGCTGCCTGGTTTGAGGCCCCGTGTCCCCTCCCCTCTGAAAAAATATCAAAATTTGGTCCTTCAAAACAACAGATAACAAGTAGCTCCTGAATGTGAATATTCATGTTTCTCCTGATTATAATGGATATCAGTTGACCGAAATTCCAGCTGTAGTAAATAGAGTTACCACATACATCTGAAAGATTTGTTGTAATGTGCTTCGATACATATGGTTCCAGCAATGGTAACAGGTCAACAGATTCTCCCAACTCAATCAAACAATCCCACTGCTTTTCCAGCTCCGAAACGTTTGTTACACTAAGAATTATCACATTTTGACACTTGATCTACAAGAAACAAACATCAGATATCAAACATTTAAAACCAGAAAGCACACCATCACATGTTCCGCAGCTAAGAGTTGGTCACAACAGACCAATGTACATTAGACCAATTTCTGCCATCGCTCCTCAATGTGAAATTGAATATCCAGTAAATATGACATGTAAAGAAACATAATCATGGCTAATGAATTTCCCAGAACGTACCAAGGGCACAGACAACTTGTCATGATGCAATAATTCTGTGATGCCTTCAGGCAATTGAGCCATCTGAAAGGTAAATGACTAATGGATCAATTCGTGCTATAAGTATCATCACAAAGAATGGTAATGTGAAATGTCGATCTAAATCTGAGTCCGCAAGTTGGAGCCATATTTGGGAGTAGAGAAGAAAGTTCTTCGGATAAGCCAGAGGTCAAGCCCTCTCACTGACCCTAAAAAATACAAAACACTAGAATGCAGTAACCAGATGAGACCAGTGGGACAAGCTCTTGAATGAAGTGGTAAAGGTTGGGCCTCCAAAGTTCAGCTTTTGGTATTCATGCATCGATAAGGAGAAACTATTGTATACACCACCCATAAGCACCTATTAGTGGGTCCACCTTTGACATGTACACGTGTGTGCAAATGTTTCTCAGAAAAATGCCCTTTCCAATCAGAATAGAATGCATTGAAATATTAAAACACAAACATTAAGATGATCAAGTAACTTCTTGTACGCTAAGCTACCTCATTTCGGTCACCAGTACATTGATAACCAATAATATTCCCAAGATATTCTTCAAATTCTTCGTCAGGAGCCTGCATCACGCTCAAATGACCAAATGATAAGAAGTTAATCTTATTATAAATTAATAAGGAAAGCTATGCTCACACACACTATTTAGTCAATTAAGTCAGGAGAAACTAAAGTCAAATTTATCTTTGCCGCATAGCTTAACAACCAACATAATAAGGCAGCACATCCAGGCAATGATTTAGTGGCCTTTAATGGAAAAACACAACAATCAGATGAAACAACCCACCAAACGAACACTAAAAGCCTTTGCAACTCCTGCTAATGTAACATCTGAATGCAGTGGACCTACACCTCCATATATAAAGACCTACAATAATCAGGTCAGTTTAAACCTAAACTTTCATTTCATCAAGAAAGCCATATGCACAATTTTAGTAGAATTTTTAAATTTACCAAATCATTAGTAGATTTCTGTCGCTCAACTTCTTCAGCCACAGAGTCTATCTGGTATAAAAGATGCATGCCACAAAGCATTAAATTAACAGATGAGGTAACGAATGATTGTATCTGGGATTAGATGTAACGTGTTTTCAACATGCTCATAATAACAAATTCAAGTACAGATACCTGCCAACTAGAACACTAAAATAACTACAGGGAGGATGCAAATATGAACTCACATTGTTGTGAACAACAGAAAGTTCTGACACAGACCAACCAATAGAATACAACTTCCTCAGCAAACAAGGTCCCAAATGATCCTCAATAGTGCCAAACCTGAGCTATGAAACAGAGGGGAAAAAGGAAATTCTATTAAAAAAATTACAAGGATGATAAAAATCATGTGGACTTCATGAATTGATAGATAGCACAATAAATTAGTGAAATCCCCAAGAGGTGAATTAAAAAATAAAGCGTGCAAGTTCATTAAAGATACATTTTTTGATATAACCATGTAATCCACAAGTACTTACAGAATCTCATCTCCCACAGCAATAACGGATGCTGTAAGCATACTGTTTTTATGCAAACCCAAGCCAGTCAAGCCATTGCTATCAGTAGGATGGTTTCCACTAGCAGCAGATGTCTTTCTAACCCTCCCTGCCCTCTCTAATCTTCCATCAGCAAGCAAGTATGCTGGCTTATATTGGTTTGAGGAGTTGCTAACGGATAATAATGCATTGGGAACTGTATCATGAATGCTCCCAATTGAAGTATAACTGCACAAATAAAGAAAATCTCTCACACAAAATTCCTCAACTAAACTTCAACAACTAGAACTTAACTTGAAGCGGTGAACTACAATAGACTAGTTCTAGCACACTGCATCAAAGAGGAAGCAACACAGACCAAATAGCCTGAATAATTCAGCAAAGCTATTTGATCAAATCTTGTTTGAAATTTCAGAAAAAGATGATAAAACTAAATGTAGGTCCTTTATGAAACCTTCGTCAAATAACTCTAGGTTTTGGATCTCAGGAAAGGGTAGATATTAAAAGGTTAAAGCATAGCATGCAATTACATTAAATACAACAATAAAGTCCAGCAAATCAATAGAGTATTACCCTTGATCATAAAGAGTGCAATATTTCACCTTGCAATTTAAAAGGAAGGCCCACACATCTCTGCCATAGAAATATAAACGAGTAAAACCATCAAAATGATAGCAAATTGAAACAAAATAAAGTTGTAAAATAATGAAATGATGACAATTCCCTCAATCAAAAGAAAATAATGTTCTCGCGTCTTAAGAGAAATGAAATAAACAATTATGTGAGAGAACATACAACACATATTTACAAGTAACAACACTTTATAAAGAGAAAACCTAATAAGCATCCCAATTAATTGAGCTATTTCGTTTTTCAAACTCTCAAAAGTTGGCAAGCCTTGAGGAAAACAAGTTAAAAGTGAGGGATCAATAGCAATTTAATCCTTTGAAATTCTGATTATGGAATAAAACATAGAAACAATGAAAAAAGACAATAAAATAAAATATCTCTTCCATATATCAAATAGCATCCAGCTGATAGATATCCTTCATTTTTTACGAATTACTGGTACTACCTAATTATCTTCAAGTATTCAAGTATAACTAGAGCAAAAAGTTAAAAGAAAGCTTGGAAAAAATGTTTTGATATATGTAATTATGAGGAGGCCTACCAATTAGTGGCACCCTGACAGACTGATCTTAATCTCTAGTACATTAGTGTTATTAATTTAGAAACAACATGCATCCTATCCAATAGCATGTATGTTGACAGAGCTTGTCCATGTAGAGCTTATTACAGAAACCAAAGGGTTCCTGGATATGTCAGCAACCACTCACTGAATTAAGGAAGATAAAATTTCTTAAGATTTGATTATGTTTTTATTATAGTTCATCAATCCAAAAGAAATAAAGTGGCACCAAATATAAACAGAAATTATGTTCCATTAAAAAAAAAAAAACGTTGTAATGAGAAACAACATATAGCTGAAGGCAAAACCTGTATGACCAATCTAAAATGGGGTTCACTCTCATAAAAGGTGGCCAACCAGGTGAACTAGGGGAGAACTGTTCTTGGCCAACCTGCAAGGTTGAACAAACGCATTAAGAGAACATCAAAATTTTCAACTTTCATATGACATGGGAATTCTGAAAAAAAGCATGCTAACGTTTATACTTTATATGTTAAGAAAAAAATACACTTTCAGGACTAAAAAAGAAAAAAGAAAAGCTATACCGCAGTTGGATCACCAATACGAACTCCAAGGAAAATAGCTTTAATTGGCTTATCCTTCAGCAAAGCCTCCAAGCCAGACTTAAAATCTAAGCGAATGATGTCAAGCTGCAAACTATACCTGCTTAAGCAACCAACATTTATTATTTGCCGCATGCCTTGGAGGAAAAAGAGGTCAGGTAAAATTAGACAAGAACTATATAAAGAAGGGGGAAATAAATAAGTGGGAAAAGGACAATCAGGGACCTCCCAAGGCCATTAATTACAATTAGGGACCCTAAGGTCTCGTTTGGTATGATAGAAAAGTTTTTGATGGAATCGGAATTGAAATTGAAATTAAAATCAAAATCAGAATTGGAATGGAATTGAGTTTTAAAAGTGTGTTTGGTATGTTAGAAAAAGTAGATGGAATTCTTACACTATTTTTGTTTGGCATGTAAGATATGGAAATAGAATTATACAGAAAAGACAAAAATACCCCTAAAAATTAAAATTAAAATAAATATATATTAAAAGCTTGATTGTGTTTTAATTTCCTCATGTATTTAGTATATAAATAAAATATTATATGTAATAGTAAATATATATAATACAAATATATACTATAAATATACAAATAGTTTATAAAAGAAATATTATAAATGTCCAAATATATATAATACTATATTATATATATATATATATTATAATTTATATAAAGACTTTTATGCCCATAGTAACACCAAAATAAAGAACACAAAAAATAAAGAAATAAAAGTAGTGAGAAAAGAAAAAAGCTAACGAAACAAACTCAGCCACTATCATTTTTTTTTTTTGCCGAACTCAGCCACCACATTTTGAAGACTAAAAGCTTTTGATGCACACAAGACTCACGCTCATGATTTAAGGGGCAAAGTTGTGAATTCAATTTTTTAAGAGGATAAAATTGTCTTGAAAAATAGGATTCTATGGAATTGGTCCAGATTCCATAGCTTTAAGTATGGAATCTAATTCAGGCTTTTTTCATGAAATTAGGATTCATGGGAGTTCTAATTCATATGTACCAAACATCTCTTTGTTAAGATTCCTACCCCAATTCCATTTCCATCCTTAAGATTCAACTCCACCAAACAGGGCCTAAATTATTGAAATCCCAATAATAGATCATGGTCCTTATTTAAAATTAAAAAAAATGCAACTAGTCTAAAAATATTCTTCAGAAATGACTTTGATAAATTTTCAAATGACTATTGTATATTCGCAAGTGCTCTTAGAAAGTTTCAAAAGTGAATTTTAGTTTAACACTAGGAAACAATTCATTCTCAACTATTGTTGCTTGGTTTTCTAATTGAGATTAACAATATTTTCATCCCATGATAGTAATTTTATCAACTATCATTTCTTTGTTCTCCTAGTGGAGGACAATTTTTTAAACTCATGTATGTTTTTAATTCCAAATAAGAACCATGATCCATTATTCGCTATTGTAATTAATGGCCTTAGGGGGTCACTAATTGTCATTTTCCCCAAATAACTTGTCCAAATAAATGTAAACTATAGCTGAAATATAGAATAAAATCACAAACAGAAAAGGAAGAAGAAGCCCCACTCACGTGGCAGCTGTATCATAGGTAAATGAGTTGATTTCTGGGAAAGCACAAGGACTCTCAAAATATATTGTTCGAATTGGAAAGTCTCTTAGATCACCGTTTGCACCATTTTCCCCCTTTTATGCAAGAAATAACCAGCCCTGAGCAGGTGCAACAAAACCTACAAACCAAAGTTCACTGTTGCTATCATAGAGTTCAGAGACACAGACAGGTGCCATACACATGAATACTTACTGTTGAATCTTTTCCACCATTGAAGCTGAAGGCAACCTCCTCAATACTGCAGGAAGAAATATAGTTAGTACGCATTGATATCAGCAAATGCAGATCATGCATTCTTCTATATCATTATTGTTATTATTTTTTTCTTGCTCCCTTTTTCTGATAAAACAAGGACAATAAGTTCAATTATAATCTTTGACGATCATCAAAGTTCATAAGTTAAAATGTATAAAATGTATTTTAACACACCATTTTCAATTATAATCCGACAGTGGTATGGCTCAGTAGCAACAGAACCAGAAAAAGACGTCCTCCTTTCTACAACCACCCAACGAGAAATAATGCTCTTTGGAACAGAAAATTATTAGTCATTACTCATTTCTAATAGCTCTTGTAAAAACAATAACAAACGAAGGTCACATGGTTTTTTTTTTAATTAAAAAGTAATGCACAAGTCCACACAAAATAGCAATTTTCTCGCTCCAACAAGCCAACAGTCCACCACTACTAAGACATCTGGATAATAGCAAGGATTGATTTTAATCATGTTATTTATCTTTAATATTTAGTATTTCAGTAAGCTAAGCCAAGTGGAGCTCCATCTGCAAGTCATTTTCTGTTGCATCTTTCAGTATTTGTTTCAATGGAATTCCAGTAACACATGGCTTAGATAATGCAATAAATAGTTAAGGTTCAAAGCCACCAACAAAAGGATTAACTTCAGCATAGAAGAATCAATGTTTTCACCAGAAAACCAACAAAAGGCTCTGAGATAACTAATATCAATCAAAACTATATGCCTACTTGACTGACTAGTCGAAACAGTTACGGGCCTGGAGTCAACAATATTAAATGTTTTAAGCAAACTAACAGAAAACGGGCAAATCTAACCCATCTCATAAAAAGGACTAAGACAAAGACCCAGTAAATTGCATATAATATAGCAATCTCATAGAAGGAATTAAAGAACTTACGAATACAAAGCTAATGCTCTCTGAATAACATAGATAGCGTTGTTGTACTTGGTCTGGAGCCTTCGATCGTTGCACTCTCTGATTGATTTATCGATCTCCATTGACCGTGGCGCACAATAAAAATCTGAACAGCACAAATAAACATATAATCAAAGCAAGCAAGGATTTCAAAGATTGCGGGTTTTTGGCATTTTCCCTGCATCAAACCTGGGTTTCCCCAAAAAAAATTCCCTTTTCGCGGTGAATGGTTACAGAAGAATTTGAAAACGACCTACTGCTCTGAGCAAGCTAAGTGAATAACTGTAATGGAACTCGAGTCAGTCAACAAGGACAGGGATATCCGGAATGGCTGCTTAATATAGTTTCTTTCCACAAATGAAAAGAATCAGGAAGAGATATTGTGGAAGCTGAGTCATGTAAATTGGATGGCACGGATTGGCTATGGGAAAGAGAAGCTGAACGGAAATGGTCCTTCCCCCGTTATCGTATTGCGGAGCCGTGCAAGCAGCCAAAAGAGCTTGAAACTGAAATTCAAGAACCGGATCGAGAGGGATATTCAACAAGATGTCACTGTGACATGAAAAAAAAAAAAAAGCACATTCGCACATAATTCCGAATAATAATTACAAGAGGCCTTTTGTTTTCTACTTAATAAACTTCCTTATTTCGTGAATTGAATTCGATGATAAGGATTAATCCTGAAAGTGGGAAATCTTTTTTTTTTTTTTTGCCAATGACAGCAGGAAATCGTATGCGTGTATTGTCCAACATTTTTCTTTAATTTTTTTTTGGCCAACCAACATTTTTCTGTAATTCAAGGAATCAAAATAGTATTTTTATCTAAATGTATTAGAAGGGAATTATTTTAGTTCTAAATTTAAAATCTCAATTTATATTTTTATTATTTCTTCTCAAACTATCCCATTAACTGTATTTATTCAAGGAATCAAAGGAGTAGCTTCCGAGATAAATAATTAAAATGAATATTTAAAATAATTGAGACACATTTTTATAAATAATTAATAACTTAACTAATTTTTTAATCTCTATAAATTGCTATTTAATGTTAACATTTAATTGAGGAAGTATCGAAAATAGTTTCGTGCCGGCAGCAGAAGACATTAAATTAGTTCTTGTCGGCCGTGGGTAATTTTGTATTTCAAGTCCAATAAAAAACCAGGGATTCAAATTAATAAATCTTTTAGAAGTTAAAGAAACTAATAAATCTTTGAGTTTTCTTTGCAAGCAAAAACTTCCGAGTTATTGCTCTTGCTCAAGGGCGCCACATTTACATGGGTGTGCTACATTTATGTAATTTTTATACCCAAGGAATAATCGTAGATCACTTTTATAACTCCATCCCAGTCACATTTAAAATCAACGCTAGGAAAACGAATGCTAATTGATCAAGTTTACCCAAAATCAAGACAGAGAGTTAAGTTGGGCCCTCAAGAAACATGTTCCATGCCTTACTAGTTTGAAGTTTGAACCAGACAGTCATTCCTTGTGTTTCTTTCTCCTGCCTGAAGTCTTCTCTACTTATTAGTGGTCTGGTAAACAAAACGTCAAAAGTTAAAGACAAACCTTATTGCATTCATCAAAAAATGACAATGTGTGTTGGAACATTAGAGTGTTGGCGTTATTAGTGCTAGACATATTAGTTAATTGGTGACTCTAAATTCTATATGAATGGTATGAATCATATTATGTTATAGGTTGGGTAGGTTGTATTCTATTTCAAGAGAAAAGTTAACATGATTTTCATGGCTGGTAATTCTTTAAAGAAAGGTTATATTATTTATTTGTAAATCACCTAAACAGGGTTCATTATCTTTATTATCATTTGTCGAGTTGATTAATGAAAGATTTCTATTATCATCTTTGTTGTTCGTTTTCTTCTCCTTAATTTTCCCAACAACGTATACAAATTTCAAGCGTAATGGATGAATTAGAAAATGAAAAGGTTAGGGGAAAGTGGAATCTGACCGAAACCGACAAGCACTTCACGCGGTGGTTTGGCGGATTCGAATGACTTTTCCAAGTTCAACCAACTCTCACAGGGTCAACAATTAAAAATTAGGCCACAGCAGAAAAATCAAAGTACAAATATTCACCACAGCATTTCTAGAGTTGAAATTGAGGTCTGTATCTGTATGCACGTCACAAAGGATTCTGAATGTTTGATCCTTTCTACTTTTTAGTGAATATATGCGCAGTAATTTTCTTTCAACTAGAGACGACAAAGTTATATATGATGAATTCTTGTCTTCTTGATTTATTATCTCTCTTCTTTTTAACCTCCTTTATTCGGGGAATGGGAGGGTATGCAGTATTTCCGTATTTGTATTATCTTGACTAACAAAAGTATGAAAGGAGCATTATTGCATCGACTGACTGCTTTGGCACTTCGAAGAAAGTGGCAACGCTAGCTTCCTCGATTGCATGATACCTGGCAAGGCCTCTCGAACAAGCACCCTGCAATGTCCAAGCATTTGGTTCAGACACCAAGGCCTACAAGATCCGGAATTGGATCCCCTGCAGCAGAGCTTTCTTTGTGCACTGCGGATTATTAGGAAAAAGATATATCTATTATAACTAGTGTGTGTGTGTGTGTGTGTGTGAAGAATGTTACTTTCACAGTCGCACTTCAACATTGTACGATTCAAAGCACCACAGGAGACATATCCATTAGTTAGGAATATGTTGACAGGACTCAGGAGCATTATGGATTCGAAGATCCGATCCAATTCATCAAATAAAGAAGTTGCTAATCTCCTATCAATCTATATCAAACACCATTTTTGATGCACTGAAAATATACCCAATAGATTTCAGTCCCATGTACACATCCCTGAGCATCAACTCCGTCGCTCTGTCTTCGAGGTGGGACCTCTTGCTTGCCAGAAACTTATGAATTGCTCCATTCAGTTCCACATAGCTCCAACCAGGTGGCTTCTGGATGGCAACATCGTCTATTGGTTCCCTCACACGAGTAGCTTCTTCATGCTGATCCATATCGGCTAGCATGTTAGATAACATCACATAACGGGCTCCATGGTAAGGTTCCATCGCAAGAAGCTCTTGGCCAGCAATTTTAGCCAGTTCCACGTCTCCATAGATCTTGCAAGCACCTAAAAGTGCTCTCCAGATCACGGAATTGGCCTTGCATGGCATGATCTTAATCATATCATATGCTTCATTCAAGCAACCAGCCCTCCCAAAAAGATCTACCATACAGCCATAATGCTCTATTTTTGGGTGGATACCGTAGATTGTCATCATAGATTCAAACAACTTCTCACCTTCCTCAACTAAACCACTATGGCCACAGGCACTCAAGATTGCTACAAATGTTATTTCATTTGGCCTTAATCCTATCAACTTCATTTCTTGGAAAATTGTAATAGCAGTTTTACCGAGTCCATGATGAGCAAGACCAGAGATAATGGAATTATATAGGAGAGTAGTTTTCAGATTGTCAGGTGTTTTACGGAAAATATCCATTGCAGTATCTATGTCACCGCACTTTGCATACATATCAACAGCAGCAGAAGTGAAGTCCCCGTGTTCACCAAATGACCAACTTTTAGCATATTTAAGGTGAATTCTTCTTCCCAACTCCAGAGCACCAAGTCGTGTACATGCAGAAAGAGCAGCAACTACAGATTTCACATCCAGTTGTCTCCCCATATCCTCCAGCTGTACAAACAATTCTAATGCTTCCTGAAAATATCCAGCACGAGAGTAACTGCTAATCATAACTGTACAAGAAACTACATCTTGTTCACCCATTTGGTCAAAAACCCGCCTAGCGACCTCAATTTCTCCGCACAGAGCATATCCACCGACCACAGAAGTCCACGCTGCAATACTTTTGCTAGTTCCCATCGTGTTTAAAACTCTTTCTGCTATTTTTAGGCACCCACATTTTGCATACATATCGACAAGCGTATTCACCAGTAAAATATTTTTACCTATAGAACCCAAGATTATATATGCTAAACAATGTATCTGCTTCCCAGCAATAGGATCAGCAAGTGATGAGCAAGCAGATAATAAAGCAACAATGGTATACTCATCAGGAGAGATGTATAGTTCCCGCATTTTTTTGAAAAGTTTAAGAGAAGAACGAGCTAAACCAGCTTGTGCGTACCCAGTAATCATAGTGTTATATGAAACAGAGTCTCTAACAGGACTTTCCTCAAATACATGGCAGGCATTCCTTGTATCTCTGAAAGCACAATACAGATGCAACAAGGCATTCGCAATATAGATATCTGATCCGAACCCATTCTTTAAAATGTGGCAATGAACCTGACGGCCTATTTGCAGCCGTGACAACCTGACACAGGACTTCAGTAGGAAAGGGAAGGTAAATTCATTAGGCGATTCAACTGCTTCATCAAGCATTGACTGGTAGAGAAATATCGCATCTTCAGGTGCATCACTGAGAGAGTAACCCCTGATCATGGCATTCCATATGAATACATCTGGAAAATTAATTTGGGAAAAAAGAACTCGAGAATGATGCAGGCCATTTCTAGATCCTGACAAAGCGAAGAATGAGATCAGCCCGCTCAAGACGAACAAATCGTCATGACGGCCATTGACGATGACCTGTGCTTGAATTTGGAGTGCTTCACTGATGGTTTTGCATGATCTTAACAAAGCGTTGATCGACTGATTCCAAATCCAAATTGACGCAACATTCTCGTGAAAGAAACACTGGGTCATGTATCGCTGACAATGCATTCGCGCCAGACTTATGCATGTCCATAACTCCACTCTGGAACAAGGGTTCTCTTCGTTTTATGCACGCACTTCGAATTCATGGGCTTAAGATCATGCACCGCAGACGATTTTCCGAGAAAATTTGAATAGAATCTTCTTTTTTTACCCTGAGGGTGATATCCGAAAACCACAATAAATAAATGACACTTCGCAGAGGAGCTCTAATGTAAAGCGAGCATGTGAGAGTCGTATGTAACGAGGTAAATTAAAACAGAAGCAAGTTTTTTTTTGGGCCAGAAAACAGAAGCAAGTTGAGGGAACGCAAATTTAAACATTCCCATGAAGTGACTCGTTAAGCAAATTTCAGGATAAAAAAAAGTCAGAAACTCCCTTCTCAGACTGTCAGACATCAACTAACAGCACCACACTAGAAGCCGCTGCCAGCTAAACAGCAGAATGTTTACTGGAATTTTAATTTTATGTTTAAAGTGTTTTCTACTGTTTTTCATTTCCTAATAGTCTTATTATAAATTGTATTATATGTCAATTTTTTATGAGAAATATTATATATTAATCTTGATTATAATAATTATAAATTATAAAGACATTATTAACTTAAACTCCATATCTTGAACAGAAAATTTATCGATTCGTCAAAATATAGATGGCAATAATCTTTTTTAATTACAATATTAATTTATTTTATTGATCTTTTAATATATCAGTCAATCTATCCATATTCTGGCGGCTACCCTCTCTCAAACTCGACCACGGAATATGAACACTGGCACGTGAAATGAAATGAATTAAAAATATAGAATAAAAATTTATTTTATAATTTAAATAAGGATAAGACTTATGGACTCAATATACTTATATTTAATCAAATTATGATAAGTAAATGTTAATATGTTAATAAAATTAATAACAAGATTTATTATGAAATAAATAATTTATAAAAGATTCACATATATTGAGTTAACGAAAAGCATAACTTTAAATTCTTACACTCTGTTCAAATTTTATTATAGGTCCTTATGCTCTTTTTTAATGTTCTAAATTCCTATATTTTTATTTTTAATCTTTTAAGTCCTTATAACACTAATTATGGAGGAACTCAGAATATTAAAAAATAAAAGTATGATAATCTAAAATATCACAAAAAAAAAGTAAGAACTCATACTAAAACTTGAACAAAATATAAGACTAATTTAATTAAAATAAATAATTTTTTTTTTTTTGTATAGGAAAGAGGGACTAGCCCAAATTACACGGAAAAGGAAGCGGGGGATTGTAATCCCAGTTGTTCTCTCTACAAAATGTCTCCCAAAAATAAAGACTCAGCTTCTCTCTACTTTTCTCCTCTCCTTTTCTTCTTCACTTCTCATCTCAACTATTGAATCCATTTTTAAATAATTAAAATTTAATATTTTATAAAAGTATTATTAAAATGTGAAATTTTATAAAAGAATAAATATAATAATAATTTTGTGAAACATTAAATCTTAATCATTTAAAAATGAATCTAATAATTGAGATGAAAAGTGAAGAGGAAATGAGGAAAGAAAATGGAGAGAAGTCAAATCCAATAAGGAGCAGCATCAAAAAATGCTGAGGCAGGAATACCCACTTTCCCCAGTAAATCTGCAGCCATGTTTTGCTCTCTCGGAACAAAAGTCACTCTAACGCGCTCCAGCTATACTGAAGAAGATTCTGTATTTCCACAAAAACTAAGCTTCCATAGTGGCAATCGTCGTGTCTCCCGGAGAACAAATCCACTCAATTCTTGCAATCAGACTCAATAATAACGTTCTTTAAACCTATATCCCAAGCTAGGCGGAGGCTCCTTAAGACAGCCCACTCTTCTGCTTCGAAAGGTGAACAGTTACCGAGTGAGCTGGAGCGTTATACCCTGTATATTATATTTTCAGTACAATAAAAAGTATTTCTCCATAGTCGTTACCATATACCCCTAAGTACATCCCCACAAGCACTGAGGTTCCCCACAAACTAAAATGCCCCAATACTGGATGAGCTGAGCACACAAATGCAAGCTCAAATATTTTATTTTGTCATAAGCGACAGCCACCATTTTCAACTGACTTGTGGTCCGTCAAATTCGTCATTTATCCACAGCTTTATCAAGGAACTACCCGCCGGGGGGGGGGGGGACCATTTGACCACTCCTCAACATTAAGAACGCATTTTACTTCAAACAATTTTGTTAGACATAAAAGCTTTGCGGCTGCAGCTACAATACGTGACAAATCTAAAATATGTTGCAGGTGAACAGCAATTAAGAGCACCAAAGATATCATCATTCATTCAATTCTAATGAAAAGGGTTTGTAACATCAATATGCTTGCTCAGTCATCAATCTGCACAAACAAAACCGTGTAAGATTCTTACTAAGTCTCCACCAGAATTCCCTATCATATCTAATCATAGAGGCCTTCCTCGTGCCAAATGTCAACTAAAAAATCCACCATCTCCTGCAGAATTGGCCGCACCATCAGTTAATAATCCCCATAAGTATCAATCAATAGATAATTACTGAGAAAAAAACAGTGAATACAATCCCTACAATGCACAGGTTAATTTTGTGGATTCATTTTAGTATTTGTAATGAATCTTGAACAACCGATATACTCCCTCATATCCTATTTATAAGACACTTTTTAGAAGTAATTTTTGATCCAAAATATAGAATATCTTGTAATAATTAAACCACTTTTTTTAATTTTACCCCTTCTTGATTAGCGAAAAGGTACGTAGTTGCATTATTATTTAAAGTCAAGAGTAAAAATGAAAGTACCTCTCACTTTTTTATAATAATAAAAACAAAAACTAACTCTTATTAATAAGTGTAAAACGATTGAAAATATCCTATAATAAGAACCGGAAGGAGTATCCCAGAAAACAAAATGCAATTATATTTAACAAATCTCAATCTCCCAAACAACTCAGGGCATCCTTATGGCTTCATCTTAGATTTTTTTTTTCCCCTTTCAATTTTCAACTTTATGAGGATACAAATCAAATACTACAATACCCTAACTTTTCTAAATTCATTTTTAATTAAATAACAGATATCCACACTCCAGCAACAAAACATACATATCATAGTTAAATTTTAAAAAGACAATTAAATTTTTTAATTTAAATTTTCATTATTATTAAGATAAATCCATGCATTTGAAGGGAAACAAATCTAAAATGTATAGTCTTTATTTTCCCCCTATCTATCTTTTGATAGCCTCTCAGTAATATTAACAATGATGAGTTCAATAGGCGGTTCAAGAATAAATAGAGTAAACTATTCATATCCAATGTGAATGATTTGAATTTTAGTTCTTTCTAACTATTCTAGAACAACTCCTGCATCACTGTTGCATTTTTATTTAGCTTCATTTTTTTAAATTTTTCTAAATTTAAATCATTGTCTTTTCAATTTTCAATTTCATTAGGATACTAACCAAATATGGTTGTTAAAAATACATACGGATAATGAAATTTTTAATCCCTCAAATTTGCCTTAGTTGTCAATTTGACCCTTCAAATTTAATTTTTATCGATTTCATCCTTTAAATTTGCCCAAGGTATCAATTTCGTCCTTATTATTTAAATAGGAGGTAAGATTGTTAAAATCTACTGACATAAAAAACAAAATATTAATGGCAGCCATGCATATTAGTAAAAACAAATGTAATTATTTAGGAAGAGAGAAAAAATAGACTCAAAAATTTTAATAAACAAAAAAACAAAACATAACATAAGAACATTAATAAAAATTAAACTAATCTGAGAATTAATTTTCCAAGTTATCAAAATACTTTACACATTAGATTAATTTGGGAGTAGATTTATGTTTTAGAACTTAAAGGACTAACATGATAATTTGGGAGTAAATACTTTACATATTAGATTAATTTGGGAGTAAATTTATGTTTTAGAACTTAAAGGACTAACGTGATAATTTGGGAGTAAATACTTTACATATTAGATTAATTTGGGAGTAAATTTATGTTTTAGAACTTAAAGGACTAACGTGATAATTTAAAAAAAAAATGCAAGAGACCAAGTCGATAAGAATCAAATATGAAGGACCAAATTGATAATTGAGACAAACTTGAGGGACTAAAAGTTACATGATTGCATCATCCTGAAATAAATAAATAAATTATATTTTAGTTTTTTGTAATTATTATGAAACAACCCGTGAATAGAAAGGGTGGGGTATCTGCCTAGTTTGTCTCCAACTTTGAAAGGAAAGAGGAGTGCAACTTCAACTTACAGCTAATGGTATTGGCTGCTGAAAAGGTTCCGTAGATAAAAGTAGGTCCTCGTAGCTTGTTGTCAAGCTGCAAGACACGTTCCAGATGCTTTTCAGGAAACTTGAAATGTATACGATATTTCAGAACCATTGAGAAGCATAAACTAGATACAGAAGCATATTACAAGCAGGGCTTGATGTAGATAACAGAAACCAGATACAGATGTAAATTACAAGGCAGAAATTATGAAAGGTAACTGGGATCAAGAGGTTTCACCTTGCATAAGTAAAAATTTTCAGCAGCAATATTGCCAACCGAGAAACTTCAAAAATATATATATAGAAATCCAAATCCAATTATGTCTTATGCTTTTCCCAAAACAGTAAAAGGACATGAATTTCACACGTCAAAATGTGAGAATGACTCACCAAAGAAGTTATAAATTTGTTCCCACAAAACTCTTGATAGTTGTTCAATTTATTTGTTGCCGATAAACAACAGAAGATGTGGTCATATAAGAATATACAAAGTAGACATAAAATATCAACCCTAGATCAGATAATTCAAGAAAGCCATGCTACATACGTTTGAACCAAGGAAGCAAACAAACTTGTAGAAAGTATTCAAGTCATCATTTAACTTGAGACCAAGTCCATGCCAATAAGGTAAATCACCCTTTTGCAGGGGTCTATTTGAATGGCAATACCATTTCTCCCTTTTGCTTATGATGTCTCACAATTTTAATTGCATTGTTAGGGCCTACAGAAATCCCCTATTCCTTACCCACAGGCTACTCCCACAGCTCAATCACACTGAACTGTTTGGAGTAGACTTTTAAGGGCTGATTAAAAGGGTGTTGCATGACTCTTTATGTCAAAATATTACACTCTTTTCTTGGGAGCTGATGTCAAAATATTATACTCCAAATGGAAATTTCCAAGCTGGGGAAATTGTCTGCACACTAACAATGGCGATCAGCCAAGTGGCATACCTAATCAGAATGAAGCCAGAAAGTTGCATTATTACAAAGACTATTAGTCACTTCAAGATCCTCTCATCTACTCCCTTGCATAAAAGGGCTGATAAGAAAATGGAGCTAGTCACCAGTCTTCACTTGTCCTGACATTATTCATGGAGTGAGCCTAGCCTAAGAAATGGTTATTCCTTTGTCCTTGTCTCCTTGAGACTCGTGACACTTTCTGCCCCATTCCTTTCACTGCACATTCAATATGATGCTAATTGTTTCTCATAACTTCATTAACTGAAACAAAAAGGGCAATTACATCTTGCAGACATTCATCAGCAGTTATCGACCAGCTTAAAAACACAGCATACATAAAGCTTTTGCCTGAATGAACTGACAAGAGGTTCATATATATGATTAAAACTGACAATGATATCAAAATATATTTATGCCTTCTCTAATTTTGAGACAAGGATAGATATCGGTGCTCTTTCATCACGACTGCAGGTTGGGAGGTTTGAGAAATTGTCCTATAAACCCACTCCTTTCACGCTTCACAGTCATCAAACAAAATACAATTCAGTCACAGTTTTCTTCAACATTTTGGATTTCACTTCATTGTCCAAGTGTTTAATGCATTTTTCTTATTGTACCATTCCCCCCAGTTCGATTAGCAAGTTTTTCCACATGTCTACGATCAAGACATCTGCTGGAAATGACAACCACTTTTCATGGGTTTCATCACCATTAAAGAAGATTATAAATGTTCCCCATTATTTAGGAGCATGATTATACGACACCTTGGAACTCCTAATCAACATAGTTACTACTTTACTGGAAGGTTTAAAACATAAGAAGAGAAGACAAACTCATAATCAATAAAATCACATCAACTCTAGGAAATGATTCTCCCTTCCTTCCACCACCACTTTTTTCCTTCAATGCATAGACAGCACAACTTCCCAATTCAATAATTACCCAGAAAACTTGTAGTGTAAGAAACTCAATGCAAGTTTATGACTGCTATTTTTCAAGGAAAAACAAAAGGGAATTGTTGCACTTGATTTTTTTTTGTAGTTGTCATGCCATCAAAGTTGCTGAATTGCAAGTATGCATGTACCTCATAATTGATTCTCTAGGTGGTCTCAGCAATCTTTTAGACCGATCACCAACCCACTCTTTCCTCTCCTGATGCCAAGCAATCTCAGCTGCATCATTAGGTTGTAAGATTCATGGGGCTAAAAAAAAAGAAGAAGTTACAGTATGTAGCATGAAATGACAACAATTATGTTTGAATTAATTTTTCAATAGCTTCATTTACCAGAAAGGTCATATCATAACAGTAACAAATTTATGATGTTCAAATAGGAAAGGGGACCACAAAATTTGTGACACACACAGGCCTATTTATTTAAATCTAGAGATAAAACACGCTAGACTCGTCAAAAGGTTAGCTATGGGAAGGCAAATCAGACACATTTAAACAGATGTTAGCTATGCCTTAGCTAAGATCTGCGTTTCAATACCAACTACATAAAAGAATTACTCTTTGCATCAACGTCTGAATGTGGTGATCAGATAATTGAAAAGATAAAAGCTTGTTCTTCATTAATGTCAGGTCACCACTTCATGATAGAGTGCCATTAATGAGAGAGTTTGTGAGAAAATCGAAAATACATGCAAGCGTTTGTGTTTGCTGCATCAGAACTACAGGTATAGTAACAGAATTTACCATGATTTACAAAACCTTCTTTCCCAGCGGATATCTCTTTTCTGGCATCATGTGAACCCTCTGAAGAGTGACTCTGATGGTTGTTTAAACCGCTATCATTGAGTTCCATTTTTTCTAAAGCAGAGAACCATTGCCTTCAACAACAGATATGCATATAAAATAAGTACAAGGAAGACCGGCCATTTGGCCATAGCTGTAAATCACTACTTATGCACAGCAAAATCTCTTCTCCAGGCAATTCCAAAGGCAGAAACTTGGGCCCTTATACTTAAAATAAAGTGTTCATATGTACTAACCGAAAACCTAAAGTTACTGATAAGTTGTGGCGCCAATCATACACCCCCACCTTTCTAATATAGCTACTGATGGTTTGCATCAAATGTTTGGGGTTATGAACAATATCCCTTCCGATCTTCCTTCTCGTCATGGAAAAAGGATAACCAACTAACAAGAGATAATATGAGGATTCGTAATGCTTATCTGGCTGTTGTTCGAAACCATATGATTGAGATGATAAATTGCTAACAAATTACCATACTATGCGTGTGCCAACTGTCAATTTCAATCACACACGATCATAGCGTGCAATACTTCAAAAGCATTAAAACAACAAGAAGTTCTATCCCACTAGGTGGAATCCGCTGCATGGATTGAACGACGACACTGTGATATCATTCAAAAGTATTAAAACATGAAGGAGAAAATATAGGGAGATTGGAAAAGCCATCCCAAACGATTCCCTTGCTTCCTTCCTCAACACGATTCACGACAATCCTTCTCTACTAACAGAAGTTACATTAATCTTAACTACAATCAGTAGAATCCAGTTTCTATACCCCCATTTTGGTAATACCTGGTGTTATCAGCTATTTCGATAGAACAGTAACAGTAATATCCATAATTAGTGTCGAAACTAAATAGGGAAGTTTAAACAGAAGAGATGCTCAAAACACTGCAGGTTTAGCATTAAAAACTCTATCGACAAGACAGGAGTGCCATTAAATTTCAAAAAATTACATTATGCTCGTTGATTATAGAAAAAGTGACATCGCAGCTTCTGGATAAGGAGAAAGAAGAATAGTAATGGAAAGCAACGGTGAGCAGAGGAAAAGAAAAACCTGGGCAAACCTGTCCGTCGCACGGTAACCAGCACCGAAGAAGAAAACAGTGATTAGAGTTGGTGGGTGTATGTAGCTTATGAAGAAAGAGATATTTTTTTTTTCCGGGTTTTTTTTTTTTTTAGGATTCCGTTTCTATGTTGCAGGGCGCAGGCTCAAGAAGACAGACTCATACGATCGCTCGATCAAAACACGTCATCAAATCGAACGGCCCTATGACAGTGGCCAAGGACTTGTGGGTTTAGCCTTAATTCTGCACCACTCTTCGATGATAGTGTTTTCTTTATTGATCCTCTTTTTTTTTTTTTTGTTGGTATACTGTTTTTCTCCTTGATCCTTATTTAGGTTACAGGAGATTAATAGATATAGACAAAGAGTGCGTGTTTGGAAGCTCTTGATCAAAACGTGCTCGTGACCAGAGTAGTTTAAAAATAATTTAATCTCGACAGTTGTAAGAACTCTTTATTTAGACTGTCTTGTTTGGTCTTTCATACAAATTTTACGAAGGATGGAAAATAAGTAGGGCGGAGTGTGTCCCTAAATGTTATGATATTCACTTATTTATACAAATATTTGGGGTTGGAAATGGGAGTGATTAGAAAATTAGAAGATAACGTCTAAGAAATTGTATCGAAGTAATGGCTCCTGATAATTATATTTCACATAATTTGTATTACTTAGCTTTTCGACGTGTATAACCTCTTGTATGAAAAATATTAATGCTAAATTGTTCTCCATATATTTTTTTACTTATAATCATAGTATGAAAATATTGGTCAATCTATCTAATTGAATTAGTAAACTATTCATCAGTATTTTAATAAATTTAATAAAATATTTTATTTATAATTAATTTGATCAGAGCCTGACTACAATTTTGACTGTGTACTTTTGCACCATTGCCTTTGTTCAATAACTGATCTGATTCAATCATGCAGTTATAGCCAAGAAATACTCACGGATTAGTTTAGACCTTTGGATATATTCCTGGTCTTGGGTCAATGGGACAAGGCATGGATTTAGTTTTTGGGCTACCAAATGTTCAACATAGTTTAATGTTGCCTTACCTTTTCTATTGGGCCTACACACGACCCAACAAGTGGTGGAATACCTGGCCTTTCTGCCGTCAAATAATTCGGTCTCGTTTGTTCATGATAAAATATTTCGGTCACCCTACAAACATAAAAGTTTGGGCCCTCCGGGGGGTGGGGGACTTCATCGTACATGATGAAACGTGAGTTGATGCTGATTTTTTGTTTTGGCAGATTTATAATTCTTAACTAATTTTTTATGAAATTAAAACACGCTTTTCTTACTCGTGTGACGCACACAGGTAGTTATTGTAAGAACAACCACTATTTACCTTAAAATGAAAAGGATTAGATGTCAATTTTGCTTATTAACTTTACTTTAAGGGTTTATGGACATTCAAAACTTAATTATAAGTTAATTTTATTTCTCAACATTAGAGGTTCGCTACGTCGTACCTTTAACATTAATTATTCAATAATGGAGCCTACATTTTGTTGAGTTGGCATTTAATAATAACAAATTATGGTGGGATCCACTCTATATTTATTTTTTTATACATCACCTCTTTCCTTCTCATTTGGTTCCACTTCTATCATCTCTCTCCTTCTCTCTCTCTCTCTTCAAACTCTGGCAGGCAGTGCAAGCTTTCAACAAGGGCCTTCTCTTCTCCTGCATCGAAACCATGGTTGTCAAGGTTTCAAGCTGTTGCAAATGAGTATGGGTCCTTATAGCAACTATTTAAGAAGGAAGAAAACCACAACCTCTAATGTCATTATTATTCATCAAATTAGACCTTATCATGGCTCTCCCTATTATTCACAAAGGACACGCTATTGTTTTTCACAAACAAGGTACTAAAAAGTAAAGAGAAAGAGAGATGCCCACAAGTTGCATTCAATGAGAAGTCATACGATGTTCTTAATTCCTGGCATGTATATGCAACTAGAACCCCAATCTTCATCTTTGGAATAATGAAAATCCTATATTATATTGCCTATGGCGATTGAGCTGCAAACGCACAAAGATCTCCCCCCTCTCTTTATATATATATGTATATATCTTGTTTGGAAAGAAGGAGCTGCAGACGCTCAAAGCCCTCTCTCTCTCTCTCTCTCTCTCTCTCTCACATTTTGAGCCATTTTAAAAGTACAAGGACCCTTTCTTTTATCACACTATTAGCCTTTTTTTCAAGGGTCATATTTTGACTTTATTTATCTTTATCTTTTGAACATAAAACAGAGGTAGAATACATTTAGAACATGCTTGTTAATGTGGTGCAAGGTGTTCTTCTTCATGGCTTGATCCTAGTGCTCATATTTAATCTTAACCAACTCATCTATAGATTATCCTCCCTTAACCTCTCCCTTAAAGATTTGGTTCTCTCTCCAGTGTATATTGTTCTTAACATCTTCATAAATTTCCTTGTTAGTTTCTTTTAACTATATATATAAGTGGGCACACAATTGGATAAGTGAGGTACACCACTTTTAAAGTGCCACATATACACAAAGTGATCCATTATATATATAGGTTAGCCTAAAGGTTTTTCGACCTTGTAAAGGAGACCATTAGCAAAGGCAAGCCTGATTGTTGGCCACATGAAAGAGAGTGTGTAACATCTCAAAAAATTTAACTTATAATTAATTGGATAATTAAGGATAAATCAGACAATTGAAAGTTAACTTAGATTAATATGTAATGTACAGATGGCTAATAGGTTTGTCAAACCCTGATTAAGGCTTAAAATTGGACATAAGTGGTATTGGGCTACATTTGAGTCTAATTGGATGGACCGGTTTAAAACTTTTATTTTTTATTTTTAACCGAGCTAAAAGTTCCTTGGCTACATCTAACGATAGATTTTTAAGCCTCTAGATTTGCATTTCAGCTTAAAAAAGTAGATAGTTAAGTGGGCGTCTAAAGATGAACGAGGAAAGCTCTGCTAGTGTTTGATGTGGATATCAAATTGAATATGTTTGGATCTTTAAATCATTTGGGTAAGTACTGACAACATCTTCTCTTCCTCTCTTATACATTTTCATCACTATTTTAGGTAGTTTTTTATAAATTCAAAAATGAGTGGTGGGCTTGCTTAGAGTTCTAACTTCAATGGGATTAATGAGTATTTATTTAAGTGCCTAACCTTTGAGTTATAATGCTAATGATGTTTTAGGATTTGAAAGTGGGGTTTGAAGTAAATCCTAAAGTAATTAGTTGAGCTAAGAAGCTTATGAGTTATCAATGGCGTCGATTAGACTAATAATGCTAATGATGTTTTACGATTTGAAAGTGGGGTTTAAAGTAAATCCTAAAGTAATTAGTTGAGCTAAGAAGGTTATGAGTTATCAATAGCGTCGATTAGACTAATAGGAGTCTAGGTGAACTAACGGAACCTAAAAATAATTTTGGTTATGGGTAGATGACCACAATGATATTTTTGAGTTTAGGTTTTGATTAGAGTTAATTAAAGATAATTAGTCATTGATAATTATTCATGTGTTTGATTGTATATTGACTGTTGTTGGTGTTATTGAGCTTATTAGAGGCTCCATTTGATATTTACGAGTGCTCTTGGTAAACCAAGAGTCAAAATAATCGAGAATTTAATTATAACATATTATTGTGTCTACAATTGCAGTTTATGCATTATTATGGATGGCTTGAAATAAGTAAACTAAGCTTGTAGATAAATATGTTGATTTTGAACTATTACCCAAATATGAACCATGCCTTATTGTGATGAATTGCTTGGTGATTATATTTATATAGATGCTATGTGATATTGGAACATGTATTAAGCCTGGAATGGTTATAAAATGAATGTGTTAACATGATGAGTAGTTCTAATAAATGTTGTTGGAAGAGTTGTAATAAGCATGCATATTTTTTATGAAATGCTTGATAACTGTGTTTATATAGATGTTATATAGTATTTAAAATATGAGTTGTGGGCTTGGATTAGTTATGAGTTAATTATATAACGAGCTGTTGTAAACTATGTTATGGTATGAATTGTGATAAGCATATAAGTCCTAAAAATTATGAAGATGAGGATTATTATGATATGCGTGAGTTTAGATTCACATATGTTGATTGAACTTGCATAATCAAAATAGGTGAGAGTTCACCTTAATATAGTAGAGGGATCATGATAGAAAATTTACGTAATATGGCCTTCACTGAGTTTGTGCATAGTGGTTGGTATGTTTTATTACTATATGTGTTTAGTATTACCAACAACCTATAGATTGGGCATGATACTCAATACCACCGATCTTGGATTAGATAGTGTAGGTCGGGAACTTATGATACCCTGAAATTTGAGTAGGAAAAATTCATGGTTCAAGAATAAGTGTGGGAGCTTTTGGTCGAGTGACCTCTCACAATTAGAAAGCAAGACTAGTGCAGTCACATAGTGTAAAGTCCCCCATATAATCCAAACTTTACCCATCCTAACATATATTAACACAATAATAATAAAATATCATAATAGTAGCCTTTTATTTGTTTTTAAAATGGGGGATTTTGACTTCGTAAAACCAATATTCAAATAAAAGGGCTAATGGAAGCATTCATATAATTTGATGATTCAAAGAAATATAACCAATTTCTCTTTCAAAAAAAGGTCATACGCCATGGCTCATACTAATGTGGCATAAAACAGTGAGCGTTAGTTCTATGACATGCTCCGCAACTCGAACACCATGCACTGTAGCGCATGTATCAGATTCTGCTATCATAGCAACTTTTTGATACGAGCTTTCACCGTGTGCCATTTTTACACCTAACGTCTAATTGGAGTGATTTAAGCGCCTACACGAAACTTAAAACATATTTTATCTAACGGAATAAATTTAGACACAATCCAATAGTTCAATATGAAATTAGACACTCCGATGTAAAAAGTTACTTTTTCTTTCAAAAATGACACCTTAAGCGTTCAATTTTCATCTATTGTCTCA